GTGTTGGGATTAACCTTTTTCCAACTAATGGCCCTACTCATAAATCCCATAGTGGAGAATGTAGATTTATGATTTTGTTTCATCGATAGAATTAAAGTTGGCTAGTAAAAACATGTGTGAATTCTTGCAACATTGCTGATATCTATCATCCAGAAGCAGGTTTTCAATTATTTATATTCTGATTTTTTTTCTTTGTTCTTGTTATAAGTCACCTTGAATGTTGGAATGTTGGAACGAAAAGATAAGCTATAAATTCAATATGAGAAGTATAATTTCAGAATGATTGCTAAAATTCATTCAATATCTTCCTCCTATCTATTCTATTACCTCAAAGATGACTAGCCGGATGTCCTATTTTACAAGATCAATTTGAACATTGTCTGGTTTTTTTTAAAAAAAGTTATTTAAATGGAAGCAGAAGCTATGTGTGCCCAGCTTACCTAGTCGTAGTTTTTCTGAATTGCTTTTTTTTAAAACCAAATTTACATCCATAAATTAACAAACATAGATTTTATGTAAATATTCTCCATGTCATGCTCCGTGTGTGTGGGCATGTTTTCTTAATTCTTTTTCTCCTTCTTGACAATGCAAGGACAATGTCCTAAGATAGAATTCTCAGTTGATGTTCGTCGTAGTACGAATAAAATGTCACAGTACAGTGGAACTCCTCTACAAGGAATCACTCCTCCTCTTGTCCTTGTTAGTGTTAAAATGAAATTGTCTCTGGCATTGATAGCAATGGCTGCTGGAGGCAATATTGTTTATTCTCTCCTTTCCCATTAAAGGAAAATCACTCTGCTATGTCCTTATCTTGCCATACTTTTTTTTTTTTTTAAAGAAGTGCTAAATAGTTGTACCATTCCTATAAACAATAATTCCCTTCTTTTCCACAAGTGAATCATATTTTTAATGATAGCTGGAATGCTGGAATGCTAAATTAGCTGGCATTAAGCCTTATCCACCGAATGAAGTGTTGAAGCAAAATATGGTATTTTCCTTTTTTTCTGGCAGGAGATTTTGATGGAATGGAAATGTGTGAAAAAATTCCAACCAATAAAGATCCTTGCTGTTGCACTCCTGCTGGTGTGCCCTCAGCACAGGATGCTCATTAAACCTAAAGAGAGCTCCTATCTTTACAGCAGGCACAACAGAGGGAATTAGCATACTTAATTAAGGCTCTTGATGAATGGCTCTGTAAAGTTTCTTAATTAACCAATGTCTCCTAGGGGGGAAATGGTGTTAAACCAAGGTTGAGTTAAAATGTTTTCCTTTTTATGCATTTAATTAGCATAATCAGAAGTGCTGTTTTTTCATTGTTGTGTGTAGAAAGGTAGATTTTTCTGAGATACGCTTTACATTTGGGAGCATGTCAGGAGAAGGATAGATCAGACCCCATCATGTCTTCTCCTGAGTTAGCATAGGAAGCTGCAGACTATAAAAAGGTAATTAATTGCCTAGTGAGAAACAAGTTAATCACCTATCTTAAAACTAAGGCAAATGCTGGAAACATTGAAACTGCAAAGAAAGCAACCTTATCAAATGTAATGAGAATAATTGTAAATAATGCAGCAGTTTTTGACAGAGTACCGTGTTTCCCGAAAATACAGCCTATCCCGAAAATAAGTCCTAGGTTGATTTTACACATGCGCCCAATATAAGCCCTACCCCAAAATAAACCCTAATTAAGACCCTGCCCACTCCAGGGTGCATGGATAAAAATTAAGCTAGAGTGGGGATGAGGGGGTGGAGCTGCCCTACTATTTACCTTCAGACAGTTACAGTCAGGCCTCACACACCTCGACACCTGCCTTGCCGGCCCATTTCTTCTGCAGCCAGCAAGGCTTTCCTGAAGACCTCTGCAGCTGATAACACAGCTCCGAATCAATCTGCAGCTCTGTTATTGGCTGCAGAGGCCTTCAGGAAAGTCTTCCTGGCCATAGAAGAAGTTCCTGAAGGCCTCTGACAGTGAAAAGGAGACTGGAGGTGATGCATGCAAGTAAGCTGAGTCAGTGATTGACATCCCCCCCCCTGAAAATAAGACCTGGTGCCTTTTTTCGTGGCAAAAAAATATAAGACAGGGTTTTATTTTCGGGGAAACACAGTAGTAACATCTGCCTTGATAATAAAATAACTTGTATTTGTGGGAAGGAAATGGTACTTAATTTTTTTTTCAGTCTAACCAGCATAGTAGCCCCTGTATTTGTTGGCTGGAAAAAAAAATGTAAATATAGCACTGATTATATTACTGAGTTGGATAATGAAACATCTGCAAGTAATTAACCCAGCTCAGAGAGCATCAAGGACTCCACAAAAAATATAAGTAATATCCTACTAAATCATGAATAAAGAATTGAAGATAAGGGCCAATTTCTTAACACTTTTTATTGTCTCAGTTTTCTGATGGGACTAAGGATTTGTTTATTTATAAAATGTATATACGTCAGTTTGGATGGCTCTGAATGGTAAACAGTACAACATACCCTATAATCTTATGCAAAAACTATTAGACTAAAGCACAGCCCTCCCCCCTCCCACAGCAGAAGGAGAGGAAGCCCAAAGATGCATCCATGGGTTCCCCCCTTACATAGCAAGCAGAGCAGCCTAAATAGGACATCACCTCCCTACCCTAGAAGGAGAGATGAGGAAGAGGACCAGCGGCACTGAGAGCAGGCTTACAGAGTCCCGCAGTGGGTGGAGAGGGCAGCGAGGGAGGACCCACCCCATTTCAGAGGGAAGTGCGATGGCGATCCAGACCAGCTAGCGCAATTCCTCGACACAGCTGAGATCTACATCGAGCGCTATGGACACCTCTACCCATTTCCCAGAGCCCTAATGAGTGCCATTTCAGAAGGGTTGGAGGGAGAAGCAAGGAGGTGCTTGTTTCAATACAGTAAACTCAACTGTGTATTTTATCAATACTGTATATGCTAAAGAGGGAGCTGTTATATATTTTATGTTAAATAATAGAAACTTTCCCATATAACTGTTTTTCTTCCAAAATGAAAAAGTTGGCTAAGAAAAAAACTGAATTGCTTATACTAGTTTGCTTAGATAGTGTGTCTGGTTGGGTAGCTCTGTAGAGTCTGTATGCTTCTTATTCCTTGTATCAGTGACCATACTGAAAATATTAAATTATTTGCTTAAAGGTATACAGGCTATAAATTTAAATCCATGCTGTTTGAATCCAATTATACCTGATTTTCAGTTTTGTCTGATTCTAGGGCCTTCAGTCAGGAATCTAGATAAAGAAATCAGCATTGCCCAATAAGCTGAATATCTAATTTTGCATTCCTGTAGGGTAAGCAATGGTTTGATAATATGCCTGCAATGTATTGGTCACCAAGAACCAGGGTGGATTTGATTTAAATCGAGTTGATTTAAATCACAATTTAAATCATGATTTAAATCACTAGTAAAAAGGCTTGATTTAAATCAACTCGATTTAAATCATAATTTTTAAAGAGCAACTGTCATCTCTGCTACTCCTTTGACCCACTGTTGACTCACCGATAGTCCCAGTGTTGCAGAATATACAGCCTCATGCTACATAACTAAGCTCCATTTCATGCTGAATAAACTAAATTATTTATGTATCTTAAATAGAAAACTATCTTACGATAGATTTTTACCCCAGAAGTTTTTTATTAAAATAAATCCGATAAAAATCAAAAAAATCCGATTTAAATCAAAAAAATCTGATTTTTTTTATTTTTTTAAAAAAATCATTGATTTTTATCCACCCTGCCAAGAACTAGATTTTCTTTAGGAAATACCAGCACATCTAGAGAAGACAAAAGTGGAGTGTATAGTATAAGCCTGAGATATGGCATAATGTTATATCATGGTAGCTTTCAGTCCTTCAAATCAATCATATATCTGGCATTTAGATGTTTTTGGTTTAAATCTTATGTTCCATCTTTTCTCAAAATTATACACATCAGCTCTAATCTTGTGATTTCTCCCTTACTTAATTTGCAAGATTATTAAACTGCCTTTGATTCAACATTTCTTCTACTTGGCTAGATTTTTAATTCTCTAGAAAATGACTTCGAATGCAACAAAATTCTAAGAATTATTTTAACAAAATAATTTATAATAATAAAATAAACTACGGATAGATATTCTTATAGTTTGTCTTTTTTGGAAAATGCTATAATAATTAGAATCTGTCCATAAAATATTATGAAAAATATACCTATGATATCAGTATCTAGAAAATTAAAATGTCACTTGGGGAGATAATAGATGAAAAAACTAAATCGTTTTTGAGTCAATCAAGTTACATGATAAAACAAAATTTGATCTTATTTTATCATTTTATATTCCTTGTCAAACTACCCTATATTTTGATTCTAATCTTATTTTTTCCCAATATATGATGGAGTAACCCAAAATAGTTTTTCTAAAGTTTCAACTTCTTGAACTTTGGGGTAGCTTAGAAATTTAAAATTCCTGCATATTTTAGTATGCTTTACATATGGTAAAATGATCGCGTATATACTTAGGTATTTGAAATCTGGGGGTTTAAAGAGAATGGATTTGAGGAGTGGGGTTAAAAAGATACTTTTAAAAATGTTTTCTGTTTACCGTGCTGAACCTGCCAATTGATGGAATAAGGTGGCTACTTCAAAAGGAAAGGTGGATAGCCTTCATCTACTGCTTTGGCATCCATTTCACTGTGACTAAAATACACAGTTCTTAGGAATGTCTGTATGCAGGCTGCTCCATCGTCCTTTTACAGATACAGGTTTGAGGAGCTTTGTTGAATGTTTTTCAACAATGTTTAATGTTATTTTTTTCTCTTTGACCCTGAGATCATTTGTGAATAATTTTAAAAAACAGAAAATAAATTTAGGCACCCCCATTTTCACATCTGATTTGAATAAGAATTATGCTTCTAAAATACCTGCTTATGGCTTGCATGGGATATACAGGATTCTGACTGATCTCTCAACATTCATGGCTACTATTCAATCTCTAATTATTGTTTTCCTTTACAGTTGGGAAGACATCCCTGATCACAAGATTCATGTATGACAGTTTTGACAACACATATCAGGTTAGCTGCTTTATATTCAATCACATGATATATGCTAATGAAGAGGAATGTTTCTGGGTTAATAGGCTGTGGTGTGAAAGCTTGCATTGTGGGTGTGAAAGCTTATAAGAATGTTTATTTTTCCAATTTTATTTAATAGCAATTAAATTGTTTGTTGCACAGTCAGCCAGATGTTGGGACTGGATTTGGCAATTTTGTCCACCTAGCAAGTCCTTCCCAAGGATCTGGGATAGACATAGGTGGATGTTTGATCGTGTTAAAGGTATTGTCACAGGATACAAGACGTTCCAAGTAATATTAACTGTCTCCAGGTATTGCCATGTCCATTATCCAGACTTTTTTAGTCTTTTTAAAAATTATTATTAGCCACCTGAAGCTTGAAATTTCCTAATCATCTTCAAATAAAAAGCTCACCGCAGTAGGCCAACCTTTCAATTAACAAGTATCGGTATATGAGTTACCAAGGCCAATCTGCCTTTTTCAGGAATAGATGTCCCTACTTTATAAGTCAGAACCTCTAAAAGACCATTTTTGCCACTAATAATATGTGGCCATCCAGTATCAATGATGGACCCTGGACAACCCCTAGAGTACAATTATATAACTTAATGGAGAATTACAACTTAATCAAAATCGTGTATTTCGCAAAATGTCCAAACCCTGCTCCCAGTTATAGCTTCATCTAACTTGGATTCAGCTTCAGTTTTATTTTCCTATATTCACTCTTTTATGCCTGAATAAATTAGAGAGTCTGCTACAGTCAGTCCATAGGAAAAGTACATGGAGAAAATAATTATAGCTGAACATTATCAGCATATAGACACACTTATGATGCTGGGCCTTATTGGGTTCCAGCAATTTTCTTGCTATAGAGCAGGGGTGTCAAACTCAAGGCCCGGGGCCAGTTCCAGCCCACAGAGTGCTTAGATCTGGCCCGTGGGGTCTCCCTGGATACAGCGAAGGACTGGCGTGAGGTGCCTCTGCTAGCGAAAATGGAATTCATGAGGGCCGCAAGCAGCCCTCCTGAAATCTGCTTTTGCTGGCAGAGAGTTGCAGGAGGTCATCGCAGCTGAAAACTGAGCTTGGGAGCCTGTTTTCGCTGGCAGACCACTCGGGCCACCACAGGAGCCCCCGACACGACTGATGTCAAGCTGGCCATGCCTACCCTGGCCATGCCCACCTGGCCCCCCGAAGTTAAGCAGAACGCTGATGCAGCCCTCAGTGTAATTGAGTTTGACATCCCTGCTACAGAGGCTCATAAGGAAGGTTTTTTTAACATATTAAATTCAGTTGTGTTTGAAAGCCACACACGAGCCACGTTGGTTCTCATTGGATAACTATAGTATCCTCTGATACCCAACCCCCAAACTGTTCGAGGGATCCAAGCAAATTGGAGCAGATTTAAAGGTCAGGGACATTATGGAAGTTAAAAGATAACTAATGAATTGTTTAATGTTGCTCAGAGTAGCAGATATATCTTGCCCAGAATGCCAACTATTGGTGTTAGTCACGTTAGGTACACTCCTGTCTTTTAATTACTTCCTTTTCCCTAGAGAATGTTAGAGGTTGTAGCAAATAATGGTTTCTTAGCAGTTAATATGCTATAAACCAGTGGTACTTCCTGGTAGAGATAAGGCTTCTGTTGAATGGTAAGTAGCTTGTCTGAATTAAAAGCATTGAAAATCAAAAATAAGCAAAAATTCCTCTAATCCGGATCAAGAGTAAGAAATCAGAAGGGGTGAGAAAAGGAGTCCTAATTGTGCCTTATATGTTAACCAGCTGCTGTGCTGATCATTTTTCCCTTAAGCTACAGAGCTAGTAGCTTCTATCTAGGAAGACTCTTTCTATGACCATATGTTCACAGTTTACAATTTGAAACAGGTTTCAACCAGCCTAAAAGACTGTTGGCTTTCAGCTATCATTTCCTCTGCCATCCTAGGTTTAAAGAGCCACCTGACTCAATCATGATGGCAATTTAATGTAGTAAACAAATTCCCCTTTCACCTTTTGACAGGCAATTTAAAATGCATCGCAGGAGCAGCAGCATTGCTTGAGTGAACTTAGTAGATTGATTTTCTTGTTAAACCCTGCTTCAATTTCCAGAATAGCTTTATGGGACTTTACAGAGTGGCATCTTTTCTCACAATATTTTTCACATTCCTTTCTGGCTACTTGAATTTGATGCCAATAAAGCACATGCAAGGGCTAGAGATGGGGGCAAAATTAATTTAGTTTGCATTCAAATGCAAGGCTGTCTAATTTTTATTTTTCAGTCAGTTCAGTTTTTTAAAATTCACAGACTTCCAAATGTCTCAATGTACTTCTTCCAACAAATGCGAAGTTTATATTAGTGAAAAAAAAAGTACAAATTGCTTATACTCATGAAAAGAATTTGTAAAAATGTATCATATTACTGAACTTGTTTAATAGAAGTATAGATCAGGCTGGATTGTAAACTAAAGTTGCATAGATTTTAAGCATACATTTTTATAATCAGATTTGATAAATGAACTTGGAATATTTTATAAAATGCAAAACTGAGGTAACATGTTCAAGGGTTGTAACTTCAGAGTGACTATTCCTTATTACAAAATTTAAAAACTGCATATAAGGGACATGTAATTTTCGTATATCCACCAAGTACAATACATCCTGATGTGATGTACGCCTGGGCTTACTGTACTCTATGCTTCATTGTATTAGGTCTTCTCATGGATGTGTAGAGATACAACTAATCTTCTGACTGGGTTCTTTTGTTACGTGCCTTTGTCCTTATTCCTTCTTCTTTCGTGACTTTTCATCGCAGAGGAGGAAGTCATGTGTTCTAGGGAAAAAATGTGTTATTCTGATCATAAAACTTGTTTACCTTAAGAGATTAGTATAACAGCACAACTCAGTTAGTATTGTCTTCCTGATTTAGACTATAAGGTAGGACAACTTTTTGATTTGTAATATATGATTTTAGCTTTGCCATTTTCATGATCTGCAGACAAAATGGCATCAGTTCCGAGATGCAGAAAGGAAAGCAGGTTCATCTGTATTCAGAAAAAAATCACATCTAATTGCATTCAATTTCTACATCTTGCAAATGAAACAGATGCATGAAGCAGCTAAACTGAAACTGGGAGAGGAAAGATATCAGGGACATCACATATGAAAATCAAGGGTTGAGGGAAATATTATTTCCCTTTACACAATGCTTTACAGATGTTGCTACCTCTCAGACCTTGTTGTCCATCAACATTGCTGTTTCTCATATCAGCCCAAGAAGCCTCTAAAGTGACTACAGGTTCGTAACTCATTTCTGCTGTATTGGTTCTCTTGCTGTTGACTAGAAAGTGACCAATTTTTGCATAATATATGTCCTTGAGGATTTAATTTAAATAATGTTTCCAAAATATATTTTCTTTTGTTCTGCAAAAGAAATGCGAACTCTTGATTTTCCTTGTTTTTCACTTGAAAATATTTATGTCTGGAGATTAAATCTTCATTCTTCATTTTACATGTACTATGGCTTGGGTTAAACATATTTTAAATCAGCTGTTTCTTGTGAAATCTTGGGAGAAGGCTTGCCCTGAAAGATGGGTGATATAAATGAATTAACATGGAAGGAAAGACAAGGGAGTCATCTACAATTTAAATGAGTCTCCTGGTCAATAACAGCCATTGCAACCCAACAGCACATTGTGTATTAGAACCCAATTGAAAAAAGCTGCTTTAAGCTTTGTGCATGAAAAGCCCACTCCTGCTGTCTAAGGAAAAAAAAAAAATGCCTAAGTGATGCTTTCAAACAACTCTGGCTTCAGACTGGTTTTGACACTGATGTCATGTGGCAGGGATTTCACATAAGAATTGCGATACTGCTTCATTTAATACAGCATGCATGTTTCACAAACAAAAGCAAGACAATATTGCTGGAATGCGGAAAGATTGTTCTCTCTTGCTTTTACTATGAGCATCTGGTATACAATATGTGATGAATCCATGCATTCATCAAGCATTGCAATAAGATTTGCTATGAGTGTTTTGGTTCATAGTTCATGCTCTTAATTTCTGGGTATCGTACAGTGGTGGGATTCAAAAATTTTTACTACTGGATCTGTGGGAGTGGCTCGGTGGGCATGGCAGGGGAAGGATACTGTAAAATCTCCATTCCCTCCCCTCTCCAGGGGAAGGTTACTGCAAAATCCCCATTTCCTCCCGATCAGCTGGGACTCGGGAGGCAGAGAATAGATGGGGGCGGGGCCATTCAGAGGTGATATTTACCGGTTCTCCAAACTACTCAAAATTTCCACTACCGGTTCTCCAGAACTGATCAGAACCTGCTGAATACCACCTCTGGTATCATAGGTGTTCCGAGCTTGACAAAAGGAAAGTAATTGCATCTTTTCCGATTCCAAAGAGATTACCTGTAATAAACTGAATACAGGAACTGGGGATGGGAATGGGAATGAAACAATTTATGCATTAGTGGAGATCCAGGTGTGTGATTTAATAGAACTTCTCTTGAAGAAAATGAGAGGGAAATCCTAAAAGGGCAGTGTCCAAAAAAAAAAGTATATTATTAAGGATCTCTGGAATGTATACCCATTCAATTACAAGAATGAAACTTGATATAAATATTGAAGATAAATGGAATTATACATGAGCAACCCCCATACACATACACATTGATACTGTATCTATTTCTATTAAAGAGTTTTACAAAAAAAATTACAAATATTTCTCTATCCCACCCCTCCCTTCCTTACCCTCGAACTTCCCGGAACAAAATACAGGGTATAACAATTAACAATCATATACTAACCTAAGCTAGCTATCTATGGACTCCTGTCCCCCCCTTCACACTTTAAATCCCCTTTTATTTAACTAAATATGAATACTCTTAATTTTTCTATTCATTCATAAGCTAATTGATACTTTTTAGTCCGATATTTGTTTTGAATATAATCAATCCATCTTGTCCATTCCGATATATATCTTTCTTGTGAATAGTCTTTCAAATATGCTGAAATTTTTGCCATTTCTGCTAAATTCGCTACTTTATCTATTTCTAGTAGAGTTAGAGAAAATCCTTTGAAATTAATGCAGCAACGGTATTGTATCCCAATGCTTTTAGCAAAAAATTAAATATATACTGTATATCTATGGACAGCAGAAAGAATATGGCTACATGAAAAGACATTTGGTAAGATTGCCCAAAGACTCAAAATTTTAATGGGAAATCTTTAGGAGGTAAACATCTGTTTCATTAGCTCAAGCTATATTAAAATGTGCATTTTATCATTGTTCAAAGAAGAAAATGAAAATATTAAGAATACAGATATTAGGTTTATGCTCATAACAGCAAGAATTATTGTTATTCAGAAATAAAGACATCGGAATTTCAACACTGGATTTTTGATACTCTAAATTATTAGTATTGTCTCAATGGAAGGACTATGGATACAAAAATGCATGTTATTTAGGTATAACATTCCTTTTAATTTAATTTGTAAAGGTTATGTACTTTTTTGTATAAAATTAGAACCAACAAGGAGGTACTTAACCTCAACAGCAGGGTGAATTTTGTGGCATGAAGATATATCATTATCTTAAAGGAGAAGGAGTCTTGAATTTATTATGAAGAACTGTATTTTTTAATAATGTACTTTTTTCAATATTTTTTTAAAGTTAATGTTCAGTAGATAGTGGCCTGCTTTTGCAATTACCTTACATACTTATTTAAATTCTGTTGTATTAAAAGTGATATCTGCTAAAGATTTTCTGGCTTTCCTTTCTCTCATCATTTTTCTCTGATCTCACCTCCAATATGACCCTTGCAGAGAAATGATTTGGTGCCATTCCTATTCATCCTCCAGTGGCCCTCCCAACCCTTTTTTTTTTTTTTTTTGGTTCTGTCTGACTTTCTTCTCAAATGCCTTCTTACTCCTGAGATTCAAAGGCCTTGAAAATCAAAAGATTATTTGTTTTTTTTCTGATAGGAACTGTGCATATCAGGACCTGGAGCTTAATTAGCTTCCAGACCCTACTGCTTTTCTTTCTTTCATCCCACTCTATCCCCTTCTGACAGCTGCAGCTACAAAGCAAATCAATAAAAGTAGAAGGACATATTCTCCATTAACTTAATATAGAACATTTCCCCAAAATATGAAATTAAACTTTATTATTAAACCGTAAAGGCAAGATTCTAAGAAACCTAAAAGACTGAATCCAAATTCAGTCATCACTTTCTGCATTTCTCAAAGGAGATATGTAAATGAACACCAGATAAGGCCAAGCCAATCTGAACTAAGGAAGTGTACAAAGGTGGGTAGATGATGCCCAAACTGCCTCTATCCCCAATCATTTCTCCCTTGTCAGTTTTTTGGTGACAGCCATTTGTATATGTCTCGTTGGTTGCTGCTTGGTCTTCACTATTACATTTATTAGGAATCAGTGATAAATATTTGTACCTTTGTGGTATAGATACAATAGAGAGCAATTTCAAAACAGGGTGGCATTAATATTTAGGTGGGAGGATATGCAGCTACTCAGAATTATGCTCACCCAGACTATCTGTTGCTATGGAAGTCTAATGAAGGCAAACACTAATCCTTCTGAAATTCAATTATTTTAGTGAGATGTCAGAATTTCAGCAACAACCAGAAGTTCTAAATAAGTATTGAATGGAGCTCCTTTATCCATGGGAGTATTTTTCTTATTTTTCTTTCACTACAATTTATTGTTGCTTTTCACAGCAATAGGCAGGCCAAAATAAACCAATCTGCCAAGGGCATGAAAATGTGCAAATTAGATTCCATCTATTTCTTTCTCTGCTGTGCCACACTTGTAACTGGAAAGACTCTCTTTGATGTCTGAGCTATATCACTCGGTAGCTTAGAACAGCCATCTGAGTTCAACAGTAGAAGATGGATTTTTGTCATCTTATTTTCAAATTCTCTTTTTGTATTTCTAAAAAGATAAATAAAAATAAATGCAACCCATTGTGGAGTGCTAACCATATGGAGTCAGTGCTGCGTTGGCTTGGTAAATATTGGCCAGCTGCCTCTGGAGAGAATGCCTTTGCAGACTGCAGCACACACTGTTTGATTAATCAGCTAAACTCAGAAGCAGATGTGACTTGAAATCCAAACTTCTCCGCCTGAGCTCTGCTACACAGTCCCTTTTAACTACACTGGCCACCTTTGCAGTCATGATGTTGTAGAGCTCCTTTGTCATGTACTCCACTACAATGTGCATATTTGACTGGGAAAAACAATTTGAAATCAAGTAATAGAAAATAACTAATATTTGGGTATATTACATCAAGTAGATGCAATTATTTTGCAACCAGGGCTATATTTAAAAATCAGAAAGACTTCCAAGGAGCACAGCAGGTATATGATGATGCAATGTAAATGATGCAAGATTGGGGAAGGCTGCTTGATTGTGAACAGTGTATATAGGACAGAACTTCATTATGTAAATTACATCCTAAGAAGTCTGCATTTATTTTCTATGTTCAAGAAGGCTTGGGATCTTATTTTTACAATAATAGCCTTCCAGTTTTCTTTTCAAATTGATTTTTTTTCTGAAGTTTTGTTTATAAAGTCTATGGGAGCTTGATATTTAATGGGGTTGGATGGTGGGGGTGGCACAGGGGAACGATCTTACTGTCTATCTTACTAACCTTCCCCCACAGTTTTTCTCTGCTCTCTATACATCCATCTTTTTTTATTATTGTATTGATGTATTCTCATTGTGTTCTTTTTCTTTGTTTATTAACTTATTTCTGTTCTCTTTACACTCTTTTCATTTCTTTTTACTGTTGTAAGCTGCCTAGAGTAGCCCTATGGCAAGATAGGCTACAAATAAATTTAACATACAAATAAATATATCTGCTGCAATACTTGAATGCACTTGTTCCTGTTGAAGCAGTATAATGTAAAATTAATTTTGAATCAAAATAGCTGCTGACATTTCTTCCATTTTCCCTCTTTCTTACAGGCTACAATTGGAATTGACTTCCTATCTAAAACCATGTATTTGGAAGATCGGACAGTAAGTAGCAGGAAGTGCTGTGAACTGCTGAGATTATGAAGCTCTGTGTATAGAAAGAAACAGTGGGCAAACATCAAGAGGTTTCCATGCTAAACCCCTCCTGTTTGACCAAACTAATAATTAACTTGTCCACTGACAGTGTGTCATACCTAGTAGAGGGTTGTTTTTGATATATTGCCCTGGATCCTCTTAAGAAAGTGGTGTCCTAAAAAAAAAAAAATTGGAGTCACACTTTTTCCACGTGGGCGCGTCTTGCTTTTCACAAGATTCTGCTGTTGCTCCTTGTGATGCAGAAGTAGGACAAATGAATAGAATTCGATCTAGCAATTATCACCTTCCATAAATAATGACCACAAACCCCATGGATTACTTAAAACCCAAAAAACATTTATCTGGGATTTTGGCTGAATTTTAGTGTAGGGATTAGCAACTTCACTGCATTCTTTCCATGGCAATAAATAAAGTTACCTGTGAATCGACCTTGATTGCAGAAGGCTTCAGGGGCACATCACGTTTGCTTGGCTTAAGTACCAGAATGGTTTGTTTGTCATTACTTTCTTCTGGATGTATTTTTGACTTTCTAGTCTAGTATATTGCTAATATTTCTTGGAAGTCTCCCATCCAAGGCTTCATTTTCTTTCTTGCTGCTAGCATGATTGCTGGGATGAGATGGAGCATGCAATTTCTTCAAAGAGGGACACGTGGCCTCTTAACTAGGAAGCTTTCCTTAAGTGCCTATGTTTTGAGGTTTCTACTTTTTCATAGAAATGTCACTGCCCCTACTTTAAAAAAACAATTTATAATTTGGGGAGAACCTTTTTGTAAGGATAATCCAATGTCAACCAGATGGGCGTCAGCTATAACGAGAGAGAAGCAGCGGCCGCAGCACTGCATTAATCAGTAGCATCTCGTGCAGTGTTAATGCAATCTAAAACATCCATCTTAGTCCTAATGGATTGTTTCCAAGGCTTTCAAATTGCTTTTATGAAAATGACAGGCAGAGTATAATAGAAATGCAAGAGGAAAAATACTGGTAAATTTCCCTAGGCTGCCCCACAGATTGTATGATCTAGGGGCTGGACGATGAATATTGTAGCTTTCTTATTTCTCCTGTTGTTTCCCTAGGGAAACCAAGTCAAATGTATCAAAGGGTGAGTTGCCTGCATTCACACTAGGTTTGGTGAAGCATTCCTTTGACAAATATTCCTGAGTCAATTTGTATTTTGTATATGTGTAAAACTCTTGTGCCCAATTGTACTTTATGATGACACGATGCTTGAGTATTCCTGGTATACTGATTCTCCTGATCCCTCTAATAATGCAGATAGGTACAGACTATGTTGCAAATCTCATGAATCAATGCAAATGTGCATTGCCTATGCCTTCCTTTCAGTGAAACCCGGCTGTGTCTTTCGTGATACAATTGTAGCCTGATCCCGGTTGCTTTTTAAAACCAACTATTACAGCATCTCTCCTTCAAATTTCTATCTCGGTGGCCCTTTTTGTTCATTATATCAAACTTTCATAGTTGTAACATTTGTAATACGTTTTTAAGATGCCAACTTTCTAAAATAAGAATTTCAACCTCATACTTTAAAACATACAACCTTTTCTGGATTAAAGATTCCATGAAGAAGGAGTACAAATATATCAAAGCAGATAATATGCATGTCCAAAATTTTAATAAGTAGCAGATTGTCTTCTGTTTGGTGTCCTCCAAAGGCCAACATATTTTAAGGACATCAGGTTGGGGGAAACCAATGTACAAAATATACATAGAAATTCTTTCTCGCCATCCATGTTCTATAGATTATAAATACAGAAAATTATGTTTGTAATCTTGTATGGGCATTACATAAAATTACAAATATTGTTTTGAATAACTAACACACAAGGATAAAACATGAAACGATCAATTTAAAAAACAAAATACATGGCTAGAAGCCTCTTCTGTTTAATTCTTTATCACTTTTGTTTTCTTCCTGTTGTTTATATCTGTTTCTCTTCCTAATTGTATGTGTGTATATGTATATGCCTTTCTCTTTGCTGCTCTCCTCCCCTGGCCCTGGCAGGTACGGTTGCAGCTTTGGGACACAGCAGGCCAAGAGAGATTCCGAAGTTTGATTCCCAGTTACATTCGTGACTCTACAGTAGCTGTGGTGGTTTATGATATCACAAGTGAGTTAAGTTTGGATGTGGTTGTCTAAATGGAAATACACCATGAAGGCACTTTTTAGTTCAATATCAGTACTCTCTATTACATAGTATATCACATTACTCAATATAAAGTAAAACAAATGATTACATTAGAAGGATTTCTGAGTGCCATCTGCCAGAAATAGTGGGGTCTCCTGCTTGAGCAGAGGGTTTATTTATTTATTTATTCAGATTTCTATACCGCCCTTCTCCTTTCGGACTCAGGGCGGTGAACAGCCAAATAAAACACTTTATACACAAAAGTTAAAATAGATTTAAAATAAATTAAATAATTTGGCCCATAATTTAAAACATTTCAATTTAAAACCAATTTCAAATTTTAAAAACCCATCATAAAATCAGGACAGCCCGGCTAACTGAAAGAAGTAGGTTTTAAGGGCCCGACGAAAAGTCCGGAGGTCTGGGATCACTCGTATCTCTGGGGGTAGATTGTTCCAGAGGGTAGGTGCCACCACAGAGAAGGCTCTCCCCCTGGGGGTCGCCAGCCGGCATTGTCTGGCCGACGGCACCCTGAGGAGGCCCTCTCTGTGGGAGCGAACTGGCCGGTGGGAGGCAATTGGTGGCAGAAGACGGTCCCGTAAGTACCCCGGCCCTAAGCCATGGAGCGCTTTAAAGGTGATCACCTTGGACTAGATCACCGTGGACTAGATTACCTACAAGGTCCCTTCCAACTCTCTTATTCTGTTATTCTGTTTGTACTGAAAGGATATGAGATGTAACACTGGAGAGCTTGGCTCTGTTCTTCTTTATGCTATCACAATATTTTAAGCTGCAGTAGGATGCAGGAATTCTAAATGTCCTTGTTAGCAGTTTCCAGTACCTTTCAATCTTGTTGAAGTAAAGCTTCCCTTATGTGCATAATTGTAATCCAAGGTTTTATTTTTCTTCTATTTAATCATATTGATTTTTGGAGATTGTCCGGACAAACCCCTGTGGCTTTCTTAGCAAGGTTTTTCAGAAGTGGTTTGCCATTGCCTCTTTCCTAGGGTGAAAGAGAAAGCAACTGGCTTAAGGTGGGACTAGAACTCAGTTCCTCAGCTTCTAGCCCAATGCCTTAACCATTATACCAAACTGGCTGTGTATATCTACATTGGAGAAGGCTAATTCTTAAGGTTCGATGAATATTAGAGACATTCCTTAAATTCCTAGCCAGGTGCTAGTTGGGGAATTCTGGGAGTTGAAGTCCACACATCTTAAAGCTGTCAAGGTTAAGAATCATTGCCTTAAGGAGTAGCTTCATAGTCCAAATAAGTATCCTCAAATCCCACATTCTACTTCCACTATTATTAGACCTGATACACTGTCTCATGCCAAATAAAGGAATCCTTTAACTATACACTGGTTCCTTTCTGAGAAATTAGATCAATGCTTTTTAAATCTTGTTAAGAGTACATTATTTCCCTTTGTGTATATAATACTGATTGCCCATATGGTAAAGATGAATTGATTTATGGGCTGAGTGAAGCTAATAAACAAGCAAAACACTGAACTATCTTCTGATCAGTATTTTTATAAATACGCTGTTTTAAATTTTTGTGGGTCTTTTTTTTAAAATGACACATTAATTTACTTCACTTTAACATGTTTGCATCTAGAGCGATGGTACTTTCGATTGCACTTCTGTTGTCCTTTCCAGTATCTATCACTATAATATTTCTCTGGCTCAAGATTTTATTTATTATTATTTATTTTATTATTCATATTTCTATGCCGCCCACTCTCCAAGGACTCTGGGCGGCTTACACCAAAGACAGTATACTAAATAGCATATTGCCCCCAAGATGGCTTGAACTGCCAACACCAGAACAATCTGTGGCAGTTTTGCTTTAATACCGTGCTTGTATTTCTTTCATTTATTATATTTATATCCCATGCTTTCTTCAAATTACAGTTAATTTGTAATATTCACATATGCCCATTTTATCCTCATATAGGCTGAAAGGGAGTGATTGACCCCATTACGCCTTGTAGCTGAATGTCCATTTTAATCCAGGGATCCCTAGGTGTGATCTACCCATTATAACCACATTGGCCAATCCAATTCATAAGAAAAGTCTCCCGGATCAGACCTACATTATGGGAAAGATAGAAGTGGAGAAAGATTTGTCTGAAATAACCACAACCATCTAAATCAATTATTCATAAACTTACTTAATCTGCACTACTGGTTATCTTTCATGAATTTGTCCACTCCCATTTGAATTGGTGGCCATCCACAAACCTTCTGGGGGCAAATTCCATAATTTAAGTTCCCTCAATGATTTTCAGATAGTACTCATTTTTTTCCTTCCACGAAACCTGTCTCCATGCTGAAGGAGCTACCAAGATAAAATAATTCTGATCTTGAACCTGGATCCAGATTCTGCCATGAAAACAATAACTTTTTCTGAAGCCGTTTCTCGCCATTGTATTGTTCCTATTGAAAGGAGCATAACAGGAGCGGAAAGTGACAGAAAGGAGGATCTGCCTCCCTCTGGTGGCTCCAGCTGATCAAGGCAGTTGAGGAGTGAACAGACAAAAGTGACTCAATATAAAAGCTCCTTTTCTAATGGTTCGCTTTGGAAGGACTGAGAGGACTGCTTTGGTTGCTATAGTTGCATTAACTCTGTCTCTAACTGACAACTGACCTTCTTAGAAAACAAATGTAGGCATTAGTGATTTGTTGAATAAAAAAGCTTGGGCCTTCTGTCACAGTTTGTTTGCCTTAGAAGAACTTGTGGTTGAAGCTGTTGCCAGTGAGGGTACACACAGAAAACTAGCTCTGTGAACAAAAGACACAGGCGACCAAATAGTCTACAAAACAAGGATAGTGGGGAAAAGAGCATTACTGTACTTGAAATTTATTGCTGTGCTAACACAAAATACCTTTCCTAAGGGATACTTTATCTGAACAATGTCTGGCTGCAGCTGCAAGTGACTAGTACAGAAATGCTTAAAATGTTAGTATTGGCTGTGTTTGCAGCTTGAGCTTGAAAAATAGATTTTTTTAAAAAAAATTGATTTATATGCCGCCCTTCTCCGGAAACTCAGGGTGGCTTACAATGTGTTAAGCAATAGCCTTCATACTTTTGTATATTTTATACAAAGTCAGCTTATTGCCCCCACAAACTGGGTCCTCATTTTACCTACCTTAGAAAGGATGGAAGGCTGAGTCAACCTTGAGCCTGGTGAGATTACTTGTAAATTGTATGAATGTCGCTTGTGATATGCATGTTTTAAAATCAATTGGCTAAGGGGAGGGGGAATGTTCTGATAAAAAAAAATTCAGCTACCTGAGAGAAATTTCTCAGTTGACATTAATTCTGTCTCTTCTATAGGCATAGATGAGGTGCTGTTGAGAACATTCTAATGGATGTTGTGGTGAAAGGCACATTTGATGTCATGCCCAATCACTGTGGATTACAATTAAAATAAAGCAACAAATCTTCAACCTTCTGTTCACTTCCTGTCCATTCTTGTCCTTGTAAAAATACCTTATTAATTTGGAAATTTTTTGTATTAAAACCTTCTCTCTTTTGGCTTTCGTTGTCCTGAAGTTTGTACCCAAAATCTTAGTCTTGATTTTTTTGAATCACTTTTATTTCTTCTTTCCTCTAGCCTCATAAAATAGGCAGAAAAGTTGATATCACTTCTTTATTGTACAATTGCTTTGTACACTCTGATGTATTTCATCCTTTTTCTAAGGAAATGAGATTCTCTATAAGGAAATCCAGTCAGCTGTCCAACTTCTCTTTAATTTTCAAATAATCCTATGAGATAGTCTTAGTATTTGGTGCAAAATCCCCTTTAAATTTTCACATATAAATAAATTACTTTAACCTAAACTCAATATTCAGTCACTCTGAATTTATTAATCTAGGGGGAAGAACCCAGATATGGGTGGAGTACCTGGCTAAAAATTATATGAGTTGTGGTTCAAAAACATTTGGGGACCAGAGTTTCTCCATCCCTGAGTCTGAATGAATTTTCTCAAATTCATTCAGCTCTGTGACTGATATCATAAAAATTCTCCAAATCCTTTGGCTAAGCCATTTCTATCATCTGTTGGAAAAAAACTGGCATTTGCCCTGTACCTAATTTCTGGTTTTTCTTCACAGATCTCAATTCATTCCAACAAACTTCCAAATGGATTGATGATGTCAGAACAGAAAGAGGAAGTGATGTCATCATTATGTTAGTGGGCAACAAAACTGATCTTGCAGATAAAAGGTAAATACCCACTATCAGAATGAAAAGGAAACATTGCAGGTACAGAAGGTGTCTCTTAATTTGTTTATAATGTACACAGAAAAGTTGAAGAAAGGCAGTAAGTCTTATACTGTGGAAGACCTTTAAGGTCTCTTTGTCAAAGGAAGAGATTCCCTAGAGTGATATTTCTTCTTGCATTTGTTGTGGAAGTAGATGGAGCCTAGTTCCAAGATATCTTGTTTTCCCCACTTTCCCAGCTGCATTGAATTAGCTACCATTTTCCCTTTGTCTGACTCTAGGCAAATCACCATTGAAGAAGGGGAACAGAGAGCTAAAGAACTGAATGTCATGTTTATTGAAACAAGTGCAAAAACAGGATACAATGTAAAACAGGTAATGCTTATTCTTGGCTACACATAAGAAATTGCATTTTTAATATATGAGAAAGTATATGTAACGGGGAGGGGGATGGAATATATAAAGAGCTGGTTATTCTGTTGGTAAAAATCATCGCAAATAGGCCTTCGTGACCTGAGCATTTTCAGGATGCCATCACTTAATAGCCTTTATACAAAAATCATTTTTATTTAATTAATCCCTGATTTGCAATCAGTTGGCTTTTCAGGCATATTACTTCATATGCTAGAAATTGAAATGATACCTCCTGGAAACACGTGGCTTTCACTGCTCAGTGGAAGGGCTTTCCATGTGATACTAATCTGAAGAGCACTCATTTTTGTAACCTTCAGTCAACATATTGGTGGAAGACAGTTTGGGATTCTTTTTTTATAAATGTCACATGCACAGTATTATTGCTAGTTTCAAATTCATTTTGGATGCAAAGATCCTGGTTGTTTCTTTTCTTGTTATTTAATTCCATCTCCCATTGGCCTTGGTGTCTCTAGCTCTTCCGACGTGTTGCATCAGCCCTACCAGGGATGGAGAGTGTTCAAGAGAAGAGTAAAGAAGGGAGTATCCTTTATTAATTAAGAACAGCAGTTTCACAAAGGGAATTTCCCATTTAGGAATTCAGAGGCAATTCAAATAAATAAGAAATGGGGTGTTTAAGGTGGCAAGTAAGTTAGTTGTGATTGTGGTAATAAGGCTGTATGTTGTCTTATATGTAACATGTACTGTATATATATTACATATTTTCCTCCAAATTAATTTAAGTTTAAAGAGATTTACTCTGCTGTTCCATTCTCCCTCCCTCCCCCTCCCCCTCTCTCTCTCACACACACACACACACCAATTATCAATGGTTGGAATAGGGGAAATATTATTTATTTCTTTATTTAGAAAAATGTATATGGCTTTGCAACTTAAGCAAATAACTCAGGAAATCGCAATTCAGAAACTAATATAAAAGCAGAACAGAAAAGTACAATTTCTCTAAAAGTAGTTATAACAGAATATAAAGTCTGGGACATCTTTAAAGCAAGCCACACCCCCTGAAATTATATGCTGAACTTTTCTAGCAGCTTTACCCCAACAGGTGAGGTAACAGCAAGATCTTCACATCCTTTCATAAGGCTGGCAAAATTTCGGCAAACAGACCTTGGAGGAAGGTATGTTACCTGGATCACATAATATGGCACGGTTCCACAGAACCCATCTGGATCCATGACTATGTTGTTGGATCTGTTGGAGTGGCAAGAAATATTTAACTATTAAGTCAATATAATCCAATAACTAAAGTGTGAAATAATTAATAGGACCACCCAAAATAATACAAATATCCAAGTTCTCTAAAACTCCAAAATGAAGAATATTAGTCCTAATCTAAGGTCTGTCTCTTGCAATGGGCAATATACTGTATCCTTTGGACTGACAGAATGCAGAAGTGAAAAGAAATACAAATTGTTATATCAAGCCTGAGAAATAATTTGGTTAATGCATTCAGTATTATATAATTAAACCAAGTTTTGTAGCCTAGAAAACTGATATAGGCTATTTGTAATACAGGTAATCTTGATTTATAACCACAATTGAGCCCAAAATTTTAGTTGCTAAGCAAGGCAATTGTTAAGCCCCATTTTACAACCGTTTTTGCCACAGTTGTTAAGTGAATCACTGCAATTGTTACGTGAATTATGTGGTTGTTAAGTGAATCTGATTTCCTCCATTGATTTTACTTTTTGGAAGACAACTGGGAAGGCTACATGACCTCAAGACATTGTAATTGTGATAAATAAATGCCAGTTGCCAAGAGCCTGAATTTTGATCATGTGACCATGGGGATGCTGCAATGGTTGTAAGTGTGAAAACCAGTCAAAAGTCACTTTTTACAGTGCCGTTGTAACTTTGAACAGTCACTAATCAAATGGTTGTAAGTCAAGGACTACCTCTATTGCCTCAATGCAAACTCCGCACTCCTAGAACATTAAAATTAAAGTTGGGATGATACTGATGTTTTTAAATTAAAGTAGTTCTTAGTGGTTGGGGTGAAGGACTTGAAAGTGAGAAATATATCAGGCTGATTATAATTATCAGTATCCACAAAACTATGTTTTGCACTTTCTTTTGTCTCTCCCTTTATGTTCAGTCAACATAAGATTATAGAAGGGACAACGAGCAAACACATAAAAATGCACTCATATAGAATTCAGCATTTCTTGGTGAAGAATTTTTGGTACTTATTTTTTTAGGGAAATAGAGCTTTCCATATATTTTACTGTAAGCATATATCAAGAAAATTGCTATTTAAGTTCAAACATCTTTAGTTTAATTTAAGATCATTATATAGTGTTCCACCTATGTGGATTTCAAAAGGCAATTGTTTTGAAAAGTGTTGGAAATCCAAGTTATAATTTTGTATTTGTTTCAAATCCTTCAAGAATTGTATATTTCTAGAATTTTTAATCGCAGATGTGTAGAAAATGGTTCATGTTGTTTTGGATTTTGTTTTTCCTACTGGGAAAAACTGCATGTACAAGTCAACAACTTTGTCTTGGTAATATTCAGCTTTGTATTGTAAGGTATCAGAAGGCAGATGAGGAATCAGCTAACCATATCCTTCCTATTGTGAATTCCACAGACACACACAATGACCTTGTTAAATTGAACTCAGAATCTCATTTCTCCCATTATGGGATGAATACACCAATGGAAAGCATTAGCACAGAACAGTACTAATGAATATTGTTCAATTAACTGTTATTTATTTGAGATAAGTGATACCCAGCAATAATGACTTCCTTCTGTCCCTGAGGCTGGCAGGAAATAGAGAATACACATGGATAGTTGCCAACTAATGGCAATTTATACCATTCTTTCTGTAAGTTATGCAAGAGGACTGTGTAAGTCCTCCTTCTCCCCGAATTGCTGATCTTAACAAATAAATGTGATTTAGAAATTAACTCGAGCAGACTCGAGTTAAATGTGAGTTATATATATGCCTTCACTTTGTAAAAGTAGTCAGTCACTTCAGTGGCTTCCAAATCAGAACAACAGTTGTGTCTTTACTAAATTTCAATGTTCAGTTTAGGAATTGTTTCCCCCTTTTCCATTTCCCTTTTATCTGCTTTCACAGCAATCACAAACATAATTTGAAGTTTCCACAGGGAAACTGCTGCTGGGTTTTTTTCCTGACGCATTCGTGTATATTTCAAGTTCTTTTAATTACTGAAAAACTTAATCTTGTACAAAAGAGATATCAGAAATTGAAAGTTTTCTGATCAAGTGTCAGCTCATTCATGTGTCTTTTACACAACGTGAATGATGTGCTTGGGTTATTCTTTTTTCTATCTGGGCTTTGCATGCCAATATTCAGATGATATACATCTTGCCATTCAGTCCTTATTAAATGAGCTACAGGTAGTTCTCCCTTAACAACTGTTTGTTCAGCAACCTTTTGAAATTATAACCGTGCTGAACAAAGGGACTTACAACTTATACCCAGAGTTACACCCATTGTAGTACCCGTGTGGTCTTGTAATGAAAATTCAAGTGTTCGGCAGTCAGCTTGCTCTTATTATCAACTGCAGGAATGCTGCAACTGCCTATACTTGCCTATTTTGTCCCCCCATCTTAGCTGCCCAACTGGCCCGACAGCATGCTCAAAGCTGCTGCGATCCTCGAGACCCAAGACTGCTCCCTACTTCATCATACCTGGAAGACCTTAGTTTGTTACAGTGCCCATAGCACACATAAATTGCTCCACTTATCTTTGTGGTTTTCAGCAACAACAGAAGCCACAGTCAACGTTTTTAAAATTGCAGTTTTTGCATTTTCCATACAGTCTACTTTGTAGTCATGGAAGAGTGGGATACACTGGGCCTAATTTTCATTTATCCAAGAAGTCTAAAAGCAACCCAGACTACGAAATATTTCTTTGGACAGAAAAAAAGGCACATGCTTGAAGTACCTGTAGCAAAAGAGAGCTATGTCTGTCTTGTAGTCTAATTCCTACTTTTTCTTTTGGGAAAGGGTAGCTCGTTTAGGTGGTATAGTAATATAAGAGTCTTGCGGCGCAGCAGACTAAAGTGCTGTTAAGTAACACCAGCTGCCTGCAATTACTGCAAGTTCAAATCTCACCAGGCTCAAGGTTGACTCAGCCTTCCATCCTTTCGAGGTAGGTAAAATGAGGACCCGGTTTGTGGGGGCAATAAGCTGACTTTGTATAAAAAAGAACACCACTTGGGGGGTGGGGGCAAAGCCCTACTAAGCAGGTATATACAAAAGTATGAATGCTATTGTTTAACGCATTGTAAACCGCCCTGAGTCCAGAGAAGGGCAGCATATAAATCGAACCAATAAATAAGTAAATAAATATGTTAGGCATGTTAGCAGCACATACAGAAAGCATTGCTTCTGGACATTGCTAACAAAATAATTTCAGTTGCATTGCTTTTTAACGTGAGCATCTGTTCTCCAGGGTGATTCAGGAAGAAATTCCACCCGGTTTTTCATGGGACTATTTACATTTAGAGGAGCTGCACTGAATATATACAGTATGTTCACTTTGAGTTCCAGTGATTTATTCATTAGCTGGATAGTGGCATGATTTAGGTCTCCTTTTATGTCCTGGTTCTTCATTTTAACTACTACCACTGGTTAACTGAATATCAGGTGTAATAATCGATTATATAATCCATTTCCTAACTTCATCATAGATTGCCAATTGATTGGTGAAGGACCAATTCTAAAGAGGGAACAGGATAAATGGAAATGGCACTCTTAACATTTTGAGGATAAAGAAAAAAGATAATTGATTAGTCCATCTGAACTTTGCTATAAGCATTCTTAGCAGTGTTTTTTAATCAGAATTGTCTCTATAGTGCACTTCAGGTGATTATAAAGGCAGACAGTGCTTATTCTTTCCCTTCAGAGTTGCTGCTGCTGATTAATGCAGTACAAGGTGTCCTCAATTTACAACAGTTTGCTTAATGACCATTCATAGTTACAACAGCATTGAAAAAGTGACTTATGACCATTTTTCACACTTATGACCATTGCATAATTGCATAATTGCATAACATAATTTACATTCAGATGCTTGACAACTGACTCACATTTATGACGATTGAAGTGTCCCAGGGTCATGTGATCAGCTTTTGCAACCTTCTGACAAGCAAAGTTAATGGGGAAACCAGATTCACTTAACAACCATTTTACTACAGTGATTTACTTAACAAATGTGGCAAGAAAAGTCGTAAAATGGGAAAAAACTCAGTTAACAAATTTCTGACTTAGCAACATAAATTTTTAGTTCAATTGTGGTCATAAGTCAAGGACTACCTGTTTTCGCTTACTGGAATTTGTAACAAAATCTTGTTCTCTCAAAGAATACAATTCTTATTTCATAATGACCAAAGGAATAACTTTTTTGCTTATCTCCCTTAACCCTTTTCTTCAGTGATAGACATTAAATTGGACAAACCACAGGAACCACCAGCGAGTGAAGGAGGATGCTCTTGTTAATGCAAAATGCAGGATCTGTCAGCTTCATTTGACACCACGCTTGTTGTGTTGCTTCCTATTGGTTAGCTTCCTCAAAATACAAATTGAGTTATTGGTTGGGGAGGATTTTTTTTCTCTCAATACTTCTCTTGGGTGGGAGGCTCAACACAAATCAACAGCTGGCTCTAGCCTTTTCTTTTTTGTTTTATTTAGTTGTAATATAATGTACTTTATTAAAAATGCCAAAACAATTCAGAATTTTCCACAAGACACTTTAATCATGTGTATACAACTTTCAGCCATGGGGACTTTTATCCTTTTTGGGGCACTTTTTTTTTTAATTGTATATTTGTAAAAAATAAAAGTCAAGTCTCCATCAACTTGAACTAAAATTTACAAAGAAAACCCCCAAGATTATACAGGCTGCCTAATTTCAAAGTTTAACATATTAGCTGTAGCTGCATCTTGTAATAACCTAATACTGATCAGTTCACTGAGCATTACCATTTATACACTAGAGACAGCATAGTCAATCCCGTTGCAACTGTTATAACATAATACAGGTCTCTGATTCTATAGTTATAAAGAGGAGGAAGAGCAAGCTATAAGTGAAATCTAATTCATGACAGTGGCAGTCTTTCTGTCTAGTAGACCCCATTCTCAAAGAGAACATCTTGGCACACTTTGTGGTGCATGTGCAGCTTCCTGAATCCTATTTTAATATCAGAAATGGTTTAAAGTCCTCACTTATGTCATATAGTCCAGGTGTGTGACTTTTTGAAACTTTAATGGAAGCCCTAGAACAAATGTATAATTGAATGTATATGGGAAACCAAGAACGCCGCTGTCTATTTACAAGCATCGTTTGGATCAGGGAACTCTGAGTTAGTCTTTATTCCCTGCATAAATCACTGTAATCAGTAAGAGCACCATTAAATTTAGGTTGAAAAATATATTTTTTTCCTTCCCACTCCCCAAATATCTTTATGCAATGCTTTCAATTGTTAAAAGTAGATTCTTCTAATGAAAAATTCAAACCAGTTGCCAGATTTCAAACAGGATTGTTAATTACTATAACTTCAAAAAAATGTCCCTATAAGATCACCATTTTTAACCAACAGGACTATTCAAGGTGGTTTATTATGAGTGATAGTAATTTCTGCATGAACGAACAAAGGTTGAGAGAGAATAAATGGTCTGTCTCCATAAATTTACCTTGGCAATGACAAAGTGATAATGTATGTAATTTTGGTATACATGTGTATGCATGTCTCATAGTGACATAAAACATACACTAACACACAGAGTTGTGTAGAGGTGTATGTATACACATCCAAGCACAATATAAATGCTTGGTTTCACCCACTATTACAGTTGAGAATGCAGCCAACAATCATTGTAAAAAATTATAGTTGCTGCAGTGTGTGGGTCTAGAAAGTCTTTGTTAATTGTTGGGGGAAAGTGTGATTTGTCAATGTCTTCAATAAACGAAACTCAGATACATGTGAAACTAGAAAAAAAACTACACAAAGACATATCTCCAGATGTTGTTAATCAATGTGTGATAGTCCATGTAGTCACATTCTGGATGCACTACAGAGAAAGTTACTTTCTGAGATCTCATTTTAGCTGTCACTTCAGCTAAAACTACAGAAAGTGTCACAGAGATTAACTACAATATTATAACAAGTGTGGGTTTTTCATTATGAAATAGTATTTTTCAATCTCAGTTCTGTACAGCCAAAATATTTCAGTTATATGCTTTGGAAATTACTTCTGCTTACTTGTAGTCTTATCCCATGCACAATTTAGTTTGTCTAATTGTAGCCAAAGCTATTGATCATCTGTCTCAAGTTTTCTTTCCTTCCTTCTCAAATCCATTGACCTATTAATTTCCTTGCTGATTTCTCCTGGATATTGTCATTTTTGCAAGCACCTCTGTGACTTCCCTGCCTTGTATATTGCTTCATTCACTTATCACTAGCAGAAGCTGCTTATTACCTCCACTGCTATTTTCGCTTTATGGTTGTCACACTTGTTTTCTGCTTTATCTTCAGAATTGGTTATAAAAATAACATTCAGGTTTTTAACAAGAGTGCTACCATATTTGAAGATTCTAATTTTATGAGATGAAACGAAGCAAGGTTTGAATGGTCACTTACCATTTTAGTTAGCTGAATGTTACAGTGGCTTCTGCACTGTAAATCTGCAATATATGCTGAAAACTGGCAGCCAATCAGATCACGCTTTTATTATGAAGTAAGCAGTCAATACACAGCAAGCCACTGGTCATAACCTAGTATTACCTCACTCCATTTGTGGTGAAAAATATATTCATTTCCAGTAAAATAGACATAATTTCCTCCTCCTGGCCTAATAATCCTATGTTTTAGCCCCTTTACCCAGCCCTACTGCTTTTTGATTATTCTGGGTGACCAGATCCTGAGAAGCAAAATCAATTGGGCTTCCCATCCAATAACCATGTAGGCATCCTTATGCAAATTACCAGAATGAAAAATAGCTGCTTCTGCAGTGCTGCTCACCATTGGGGGGGAAAAGGTGGGGGGGGAACAGTAATGGGAAGACAGGAAGGATTAAGTGGTATTGCCTAATTGTTTTGAGGTGGATATACTGGGTCTGACAATGCCCTTTTTGCATTTCACCATTGAAATCACAAATGTTTTAAAGCGAATAGACTATTTGAAGTGGTCCTAGTTACACACACGTAATCCTAGAAGCAGATTATCCCATCCCATTTTCTTTTCCAGGGTATTTTATGAAAAAATAAAATTTTTAAAGATAAAACCAAATTACTGAAAACCTGTCAACTTTGTGAGGTAGTTAAGACACGAAGCACACCTAGATAAACAAATTATAATTGTAAGGTTACATTATCAGAACCTTGCAAGTCTGAAAGTACATTTCTCCATTGTTAGCTTTACAGCTCAAGAAACTAGGGAGGGTTCCTTCTGAGTGTTTGCCATGCCCACATTCCGTTCTTAGCTGAACATTCACCTCATTGTAACTCTTCCCCCTACCATGCCCATATACCACTGCAAAAGGGATTAAAAAATTAAAGCAAGGCAAGTTAGTAAATTGTTAATGTTTGAATTTGTTAACAGAAAAAGGATAATGCAATTTTACAGTGAGCTGAATATTATGGAGGTCAGATATTCCCAATTATTAGGATTCGAAATAAAATTAAATGAAATAGCTTATAACTGTTAACAAAGGAAAACAACTCAGATGGGCTTTCTACATGGAGGTAAGCATCTATATCAAAAAGAACGAGAAGAGATAATTAGGTCAAACATAATATACCATTTATTTAATAAATAAATTAAAGGAAACACATTTTCCCCAGCCATGAACTTCTGTTAAGAATGACAGCAAAAATAGATCCTTCAAAGTATATTTAATTTTCGTTTTTAAAAGACCCCATAATCTTAAGAAATGGTAGCATCAGAGAATATATGTATTCAGTATCTCTCTCATACCTTATTCTGAAGAAACTGAAGCATACTAGAATTTATCAGAATAGTGGATGTGTGTGTGAGAGAGAGAATTTGCCTTTGCACTGTCAAAAGCAGAGAAATGTGAATGCTACATTTATGTTATTCCCCTTTATATAGGATTTACTTTTAAAAAGAGAAATCCCTTCCTGGGGGAAGTGAAAATCATGTAAAACCTGGCAGTCGTTCTAACTATAGACATATTAGACTCATGTTGTAGGCATGAATTGACATGCATGTAAATAAAAAATGACATAGCTGAGATGAGTTGGAGATTTTCTAAAGGTCTGAGATTTGATGCCTTGGCAAAAGTATTTCTGCAAAGCATAGAAGTCTCATTCATATTAATTAAATCTCAAAGACATTGGAAAGCCTCTTCCAAAGTTAAATGAATAAATTTTACATTTTTAGATATCTTACCAGAAGCACAAACATAAGTAACCCACAGCAAAAATTGGAGTGAAGAGCACATTTTTTAAATTTTGTATCAAAAGAAACTGAACATGCTTTAATTTATGAAGAAATTTCAGCATTTCCTTTTAATATATATTAACCCATTACCCTCCAAAGACGTGGAAGAACCAATGTATAATGTATCAGTATAACACATTTCTAAGGAACAACTAGGAAAATCCAAAAATGACTTTTTAAAGTGACAAATTATAAAACCATGGTGTAATTTATTTTTCTTCTGAAAACTCAGCTGAACAGAATAAGAATAGAGATGAGGCATACATAACAATTTTGACACCAGGGCACAATGCATTTTGAAGACACTGACCTCCCAATCACAATGTATGTCTGAAGTACATGAACTGGCATTTTTTTTAAAAGGCGGTGTTTGCAAGACAAAAACAAAATCAGAAAGAGCAGTGGTGGAATTCAAAATTTTTTACTACCAGTTCTGTGGGCGTGGCTTGGTGGGCATGGCAGGGGAAGGATACTGCAAAATCTCCATTCCCATCCCACTCTGGGGCCAGCCAGAGGTGGTATTTGCCAGTTCTCCAAACTCAAAATTTTTGCTATCGGTTCTCCAGAACCTGCTGAATAGTACCCCTGAGTTCACCTTATAGTTCATCTGCTTCAATTACAATCTGTAACAATAATTATGCAAAAGTATACACTTCAATCTTTGAAGTAGAAATGTTTCTGTTCCTTCTCCAGAAGATCACAGAGATCCAGGTAATCAGTTCCTTTCCAATAAAATGGATTGTTCCAAAACAAAAAACAAAAAAATGAATTAATGGCCTGTGTTGATATGAGGGAGGGTTTCTTTTGTTTAGAAGAGATGATAATTGGTCTGGATTTTATTCCACTACAATTGTTCATAAAATGCAGGGTTCTGTGTGTAGAGGGATATCCAATATGTCTCCAATTCATATAAATATTGCACCTTGCTTAAATTTCAGGTGTATCTAAGTTTATTCATAATTTATAATTTACCAGAGATGAGAAATTCCAAACGGCTTCCTCACCCCAATGGCTAGGTCATATAACTGAAGTTTGAAGGCAAACATGAGTTAAAAATATTTAAAATAATCAGTACAAACAAACCCAAGCATTGTTGTATTGGTTCACCCTCAAAGCAACAGTCCAGCTGCCTTATTAGTTTTGATTTATGTTTTGATATGATGCTTTCACTACTCGTTCTGGTTTCACACAATGATTCATGAAGCACAAAAGTGGTTCAACATGTATTTCAGATGTCTTCTATGAATGAAATTAGCTCTAATTCTCACCATGCCACATGGCTTTAAAAGGACAAGAAAGGGAGAAGGGGTTTGCAGTATTTATTTTCATACAATTAGAAGAGTAGAGTTAGAGAAACTCTTATTATTTTTATATATTTAGAATCTTTCCCCCCAAAAAAAGATTGCCTTAGCAAAAGTCAATGTGCAATACATTATTTCATTAATCATAACACAGATGTCCGGAAAAAAGTAGTTTTGAACATTATCATTTTGAATATATTGGCTAAAAAACCTGCAATTTTCATGAACATATGGTGTATCCTCCATCTCTTTTCTGCATGAAGAGGTTTTTTTTTCCTCCCAGACCATTCATCACAGGACCAAACATGGGATGTTTGCTATGTGCATCTTTAAACATACTACTGATATTGCCTGTTAAAGAAATAGGCTTCAGATTCTATTTTAGCTTGATGCAAGAGTCTATACTCAGAAGAAAAATAAGCCCATTCTCCACCTACCAGCATATAACTATCTAACCATTTGGCCTTGTTCCTGAGACTTTTGCTCAAGTTTGAAGAAGTATTCCCTAAGCAAATCTCTTCCAGGTAGTCAAGACTGCAACTTTCATAACCCCTGGCATTGTCCATACTAGCAAGATGTAAGGGTTTAGTCAACATATTTGGAGGACACAAAGATGGTAAAATTCTGCTCTGCCACATTCCTGGGGCAATGATTATGTTTTATTGTGTTAATTCATGAGAACTCCATCTCTTCCCCCACCCCCCTGTACTTCATCTTAAACTATCTCTGCCCTTGAGTAGATGGCTCAAGGTAAATCTTGAATTTATCCCTAGTAAAATACAAACTCTTCTTGAAACTTTTAAAAAAATCTGACCTGTTAATCTAATGGCTTACCTCGAACACAACTTCTGTAGTATAATCCTTCTAGTAGTATGTTTTTGGAAAGGCAAAATTGTGTATTATTCTAAAAATTCACTATTAATGAAAGTTCCTGTAAACTTAGCTGTCTACAGCTACTCATATGAAGACAGACCGACAAAAGACAGGTGTAATTGATTCGTTAAAAATGTATTTAGTGAGCAAAAAGCCAATTTACACATATCGTTATGCTCATAGACAAACCTTTATTATCAAGATGATAAGGAGGCTGGAAGGCAATACTTTAACGGAACTGGAGGCAACGGATGTCTTTAGCCCGAAGATGTAAGACAATGTGGAAACATGACAGCCCTTGTTTAAGTATCCAAAAGGCCATGATGTAAAATATCAGTGTCCAATCTTCTGGTTTGCCTCGGCCGCATTGAGTTAACAGGAATCTTGGGCTGCATATAAAATATATAATATACTTAATATATATAAATCACATAACATTAAAAGTTTACAACCATATGCGGGCGTATTACTAGCTGTTTGGGGTCACATGTGGCCTGTTAGCTACAGGTTGGACACACCTGATGTAGAGGACAGAATTGTATAGTTCAGAGTTGTTCCAGAAGACAGGTTTTTAAAAAAGGATTTAAATTATGAAAAGGCAAATTTTAATGACCTCAGGATAAATTTCCTAAGCAGCTGTTCCACTGCTTAGTGGAACAGAATGCCTCAGAGGTGGAGCCTTCTTCACAGGAGTTTAAACAGGCTGGTTGGCAGTCTATTAGGTTTGCCATAGTTATAGCTTTCTGTACCAGTGGAGGGGGAGGTGCCTTTCATATACCATCAGAAATATTTGATTATCTGTGGAAGAGAAAGCAGAAAACATGGCCAGTGGCATTATGCTAAATACCCAGCTAAAATTCTGGGAGTTGTTATTCCAACACATTTGGCTGCAGAAGTTGCAGAAATTGGTTCTGATAAATATGCACACAGATTACCAACAGTGAATCCATGTAGATAAATTCCCAAAATATTAGGGAGAAAAAGAGTACAAAAGAAAACTTTCACCAAGCAAAATATTTGCTTATTCAAAATTCTTAGCAAAGAGTGCTCCCAGACATCATCGCAGGCATGATCTTATCATACTTTTTGTTTGTGAAGACAGCAGGAAAATTCCCCAGAGGGACAATGAAGTTGCAGAATAAAAACTTAGTTAGAAACACTTTAGTTAAATTAATCCAGGAGACCCAAGATTAATGGAACACCAGTATTCCAGGAATTAAACTAACATCACAGCCTGATACATAAAACTGCAATATTTGCAAAGTGAGACACAAGTGGAGGAATCACAGGCCAATATTTAAAATTTAGAGGTTCTGCCCTCTTCTGGCCATTTGCATTAACTGAAGAAATTCAACCAAAACACAAAACTAAACTTCAACATAGCTCAGCTGAAGAGCTTTCAAAGGAGAGTTTCTATAACACTCCCAGGAGCAATTTACAGAAATCATACAAGGGAGAGTCTCCCACTGAATGGATAGTTGAGAAGAAAAAGACTATAGACAAAAATATGAAGAAGAGACAGTCTCTTTAGGATCATCTTTCATTGGAATTTATAGAATTGAACTTAGTTTTATTAATTTTATTGGCCGCCCATCTTACCACAGGGTAACTCAGCAGCTTACAATATTAAAAAGATAAAACCATATGAATACTCCAAAAATATAAAAATACAAAATACAATGCCTAAAAGAGAGGGAGGGAGGGAGTAGAATGAGCAGTAGGGGAGATGGGATCTGATATTATCTACCACTCCCAACATGAAGCTCCTTCTTTGGAGTTCCAAGCCAACTGGCAGAGCAGTGTCTTTAAGCTCCTGGTTATAAATGACAATAAAGATAATTTCTCTTAAATATATAAATATCATATCAGAGTTTATTTTTAATAAAAGCAGCAGAATCTCCATGCAAATGTTCTTAGCACAGTTAACAAATCCTTAAAAAAAATTAAAATGCTGCCTTCAATCCCTTCTATTTTTCTTCCTTTCCAATTGTCCTTATTCTCTTTTGCCTGTTCAGATATACGATAACATTAGTGCACCCCCTCCTCAAAAAGCTGTCCCTGAATCCAACAGTTTTCAACAACCACCAACCAGTTTCCTATCATCCCTTTTTGGAAAAGTTTGTTTAGCTGATAGTCAGACAATCCTAAAACATCTGGAGCATCACTTGAACACCATTGACATTGATAAGATCATCATCAGTCAATTGCAAAAGGCAGTTATACTTGGAACAGCTTACATCTTGCAATGGTACTTTAGCACTATCAAACAGCTGTCTATACCAGGTCCTTAGGAATCACTCGATAAGTGGATAAAAATACCAAATCCAATTTAAACATCTCACTGACTATATAACCATCACAATTAATAATCATAAGCAATTATTATGGTTGGTTGCATAGTCAGCAAGATGTTTAGACTCAATTTGGCATTATTATCCACCTACTGACTCCTTTCGAAGGACTTAGGATAAGCCATTGTTGTTTGAGAGTGTTAAACATATTGTTACAGAGTGAAAGCTGTTCCAAATAAAGTTGCCTTACTATTATTTGTAATTATTATTTGTGTCCAAGGAATTGTTTTCAGCCTTGGTAGATAATGACACAAAATGCTAATATATGAAGGCAAGCTACTAAAATAAACAATCATAATAAACAGAAATTAAGCTGTAGATGTTAATTCTATTTATTTTTTTGCACTAGTGATGCTAGTGCAGAGTTACAAAGCCAAAATGGAAAGTTTAACAGATTGTTGGTATTAAAGAAGAATAAAATAAGTACAAAAATAAGATTTTTGTCACCTTTGGACAAATACGTATGAAGCATCGATGAGTGTGGGAAGGTGCAGACCTTAAGGAGTTCTGTCACAAGAAAACAGAAAAAAGGTAAGAATTAAGAGACAGAACTAAATAAATTATTCTACAATAGCACAGAGTGGCCCACAAATTGTTTAATCTTTTGCTGTTCTGAGTATTCCAGAACAGAATCCCTACCATCCCAAAATACCTAGAGCATATCAGTTTGGGAAGGCCTAAGTATGTCTTAAGAGACAAAGCATGTGAAATGGGGGTGGGTGAGAGCATAAAATAGTTATCTAACCACTAGACAGCTATGCATTTAATTCCACATTCCTTTACAAATTGTTGGGAGCATGGAAAGAAAAGAGACATATTCTATAGATAATGAGACTGAAAAAGACCTTCCCAAGGTGCATATTCTACTCTGCACCATTAAAATATCATCGCTGTAACTGTTTTAAATTATTCCTTAGTAATGTTTAGTTCTATTTTTTTAAAAAAAAAGGAACAACAACCCTATCCCAATTGGCTTCTTCTCCTTTATCTCTGAAGAGCCTAACAGAACAGTTAAAAAATGAACAAAAGAAAGAAAAATTTATTTAGCATTTATATACTGCTTCACAGTGCTTAACAGCCCTCTCTAAGCAGTTTACAGAGTCAGCATATTGCCCCCAATAATCTGGGTCCTCATTTTACCAACCTCGGAAAGATGGAAGGCTGAGTCAACCTTGAGCCTGGTGAGATTCAAACTGCCAAATTGCAGGTAGCAGCAGTCAGCAGAAATAGCCTGCAGTACTGCATTCTAACCACTGCACCACTGTGGCTCTCTTATGTCACCTTTACACCAGAAACAGTTGTGATATATACCACAATGAAGAAAACAACATGCCCAGAGCTCTGATCTATTTTTCTACAGAACCATTTGCCATACATTTAAAATATCTTTTCAATATAACCTATTACAACTAATATTTAATTTTCTCTTTATCTCATCCTTTGAATGTGCTTTATATCAAAAAGTTCTAGTACAAAGGTGTTATAAGCCTTCTTTTTAAATTATCTCTAAAAATAGAGAAAAGCTATTCAAATGATGGTGCAGATATTTATCAGTTGTATTTTCATCCTGCCTTTCTTACAGTACTTTATAATTCACTTTAGTGAAGGTAGTGAACATATACTCCCCACTTCTCCTATTTTCCCCACAACAACCCTGTGAAGTGGGTTGGGCTGAGAAAGAGAGCAACTGACCCAAAGTCACCCAGCTAGCTATTATGCCTAAAGCAGAACTAGAATTCACAAATCCCAATATAACCTCTTGACTTAATCAATTTGCAAGGTGAGTTGTCAAGCCTAAAAATCCACTTACAGAAGTTCTGGACCTAAAGAGTAACTACATTTGGTGTATTTGGTGCCATACAAAAAGAACGGGAAAACCATTTGGACAGAATAGGATGGACAAATTATCAAGTCATCAACTGCAGAAAGTTGCGGTGTTTGGAAATATAGTATATTATAATATTTTTGACAAGCCTAGATGTTTATGAAGGATCAGATAGTCAAAAGTTCCAAATTTAGTCTGAGCTATCTGGTAGACTGCATGTAAATTAGTGTTAATGTTACTTTGTGTTATTCATTTACATCTTTAGTTTTTAAGTTAAATTACAATAACAAGCTTGTATGTATGTGTATATGTGCCTTGAAGTCATTCTTGACTGCTGGCAACTGCCTGGATTAGTTCCTACAATTTTCTTGGCAAGATTTTCAGATGTGGCTTGCCATTAACTTCTTCCTGGGGTTGAAAGAGAATTGGTCCAAAGTCACACAACTGGCTCCATGCCTAAGGTGTAATTAAAACTCATGGTTTCCTGGTTTTTAGCCTGATGCCTTAACCTCTAGACCAAACTAGTAGTATAAAACTATATTGTTTGTGATGGGAAACATAAACATTGCCAAAACAAGGTACAGTGTTGGTTACAATCTAGCAGTGTCTGGAGATGGCCTCCTGCATTTTATTTTACATTCTGTCAGAGTTGCATTTATAACCAGTTTGAAATGAAATTTCTACCACTGAAATGGATGAATGCCATTCATCTTAATCTAAGATTGTTACCTGAAGGTGAACATTTGGTGAATTTTTCAAGAGACTGCAGATATTCCTGCCCAAGATATTGCTCAAAGGTATCTTCATTTGGAATAGCTAAGCATTCTGTGTCATCTTTGAACAAGCTATCTTTGGCTTCAGATTGGAACAACTGGAAGACATCTTTCTGCGTTCCCTGTGATCCAAATAGTTTCTGTAAAAATCAACAAAAGCAGGATTTCAGTAGTTATCGTAATATTTAATAAATACGGTTGTTTCCAGTGAATGCATAACATTTCTTCTTTTTGTACTATTTCTCCTTTTTATTTCTGCCTGTTATTTCTGAAGGAATTTTACTATTGGAATATTATACCGGTAGATTCTTCTCTCAGCCAACTCACCAAAGCCAACTCACTACAGGGCCAACTCACCATGAGACAAGAGTTATACTAATAGTGAAGAAATGGTAGGATACAATTATTAAGTAAAGAATACAAAAAGAGGGACAAGATGAAATGTGATTGACAAAAATTAAAATTATTTTAACTAAGTTGAACTAAGTAACTAAGTTGAATTGTTGAATTGTCCCACAGCAAGTTATCCCACAGCAACTTGGCCATGGCGAGTTGGCTACAGTGAGTTGGCCTGTTCTGTCAATCAGAGCTGATGCACATCTTCCCCATGTATATATGCTATATAACTTTACTATTAAACATAACAGTCTCAATTCAGAGCTTACCTGTTGCTCAAGTACCACCTTTTTAACCACTTCTGCTCGTTCAGGTCTTGACACCACTGCATGATTGCAAATTGTGCCCAAATGACATCTTTGATATTCATCAGGACGACAACGTTCACCAGTTTGGCTCAGAAGAACAAAATCAGAAGAAGTTACGCCACTTGCCCAAGCAGGTCTGTTTTCTCCTGTTTAAAAAAAATGATTAAAATTATTAACAAGAATAAAAACTATGCATTTATTTTTCTTATTAGCCCTACTCCATGGAAAGGGGAGATAGGACTTTGTCAGCTCATCCCATGCCATTTCGCATCCCACTGGCAATACTCTATATGACAATATAGTAGTTTCAAAGTTCTCTGGAGTGGTGTGTATACATGACATTTTGTCAGTATGTTCATATTTACTTATTATTGAATTAGCGTATGGCACATCATACATGGAAATAATATATATAGCTACAGGCAAGCGAGAGCTGCAGTATGCAGGCAAATGGATGGGTAGGCATACAGAATGTTGGCAGAGAGGTGGATGCATGCTGCACAATGCAGATGAGACAATGGCAAGTGCAATAGACATGCCCTATGGAGTCTGGGTAGGATGGATGATGAGCAGCCACTGTGGAGTGCAGGTGGGTGGTATGGGCAGATGTACACTACAAAGAGCAGGTGGATAAGCAGATATTATGGAATAGAGATCCCCATGCCGCCCAGGGGTTCCTTAGAAAAAAAAATGGCAGAGTGGGAGCAATTGCAGGAGTGACTGGGGACCTCCTGCCAGCTTCCGCATTGACAAACCAGTGGGGTAAGTTACAAATAGTGATCATGTGGCTATGAACACTTAAACTGTTGTAACTGTGAGCAGTTTGCCAAGCACCTGAATTATGACAACATGTTTGTGAGGACTTTGATACTGATGTTTGAATCTCCCTTATCACCAAACAGTTGCTGAATGTGTGATTACTAAGCAAAGACTACCTGTACTATTTTCTTTTCCATGAACTTATTAAAATTAATCCGATCTTTCATACTGAAAATTTGAGGGGAGACAAAGTATTTGAGGCATGTAGCAATGCGAGATCTTTCTTTTTTCTGTGCTGCGCTAAGAGTTCCAAGAACACAGATGCTTGGATTTTCTGCCTGAATGCCCCAGAATCACTAGGCCAACCTTAGTATTCTGCATCTTGACTTGAATAGGTGTATTCAACTTTGTCTGGTACAACTCCAGCACAAAATGAGCTTTCCAGTATTCTTATTTTACTGGATGATGCTTTCTAATGCAACATGATTCTGGATCACAGTTAATTTATCTTATAAACATTATCATTATATTATAATCATTTTATTATAATCAACATTATATTTATTATATTATATTGTATTGCATTGCATTATTATAACCATTCTTTTGATTATGCCTGACAAACTTCATCAGTCTACTATTTCTCAACTATCATAAATAAGATGATCAACAGTTATATATTTATTTGTATGATTCCATACCTTCTGTGACCTCAGTGATGGTGGTATGTTTAACAAAAGCTACGTCTCCTGCTTCAATCACGCATCTGGAAAATACAACCAAAGAAAAGGGTAAGTGGCACATTTCACTTCTTGCTTTGCATAGGTTCCTCATCTGAAAAATTATTCAAAAATAATTAAAAACAAATATTTCTACACTGTTTACATTGCGTTTTAATTTGGAATTAAGAAGAATTATAAATAGTTGTGAACTGAAAAGGTTCTGCCCTGTTTATCATATTACATTAATATGCTTGGGATTACTTTTTATATGTTAATATAAAACATAAAATCTTTTAAAAGCTACATATAATGACAGAATAATATGCTTATATTGTGGAATAACAGTGATCATTATACCACTAGGTGGGGTAGTAACTGCCTCTAAAGAGGACTTCCAATCTAGTTTCCATATCAAGGCTTTGCCTAGTATGTGCATTACAATACTTGTAATAACAATAAAAAAATATACTAAGAATGTTCATAGGATCCTGTGCAGAGCCTCCACTGACTGATCACAATCAAATTTAAAGGAAGATTCCAGTAGACAAAATCTTGCTTCGAGAGTACACTACAGAATCTTGTATCTTCACAGGATTCTCAGTCCTAGGCATTACTTAAAATAATATACCATTTCAGACCAATTATTGTTTTAACAGCTTCATTTCCCAATAGTAATAAAATAAAATAAGGAATATTTTAAAAATTGAGTGGTAGAGTGACAAATTAAGGCAATATACACTATGGTTTGGAATTGATGCCCTATAAGATTTCCTGTGGAAGGATTCAGGAAATGCTTTGATAATTCTGAAACCTCATTTACTCATTTGTATTTATTACTTTGATTGATTAGACTTTTTAATTCACACAAATATATAACAGAATAAGAGAGTTGGAAGCGACCTGAGAGGTCTTCTACTCCAATCCCCTGCTCAGACAGGAAACCCTATCTCATTTCAGACCAATGGTTGTCCAATCTCTTCTTAAAAACTTCCAGTGTTGGAACGTTCACAACTTCTGGAGTTGTGTCCGTTGTTCCACTGATTAATTGTTCTAACTGTCAGGAATGTTCTCCTTAGTTCTAGGTTGGTTCTGTCCTTGATTACTTTCCATCCATTGCTTCTTGTCCTGCCTTCAGGTGGTTTGGAGAATAGGTTGACTCCCTCTTCTTTGTGGCAATCCTTTAGATACTGAAACACTGCTATCGTGTCACTTCTAGTCCTTCTTTTCATTAAACTAGACATACTCAATTCCAGAAACTGTTCTTTATATGTTTTAGCCTCCGGTCCCCTAATCATCTTTGATGCTCTTCTCTGCACTATTTCTAGAGCCTAAGAACACATATAACGCATAAATTTTATTATAGGCTAAACATCTACAGGAAGGAATCCTGAACTGGAGATGGAGAATGAGGAATAATCAACAAGTGTCTTCTCATTCATCTATCATATTCCAAGGAACAGCAACCTACCGAAGAGCACCAGTATACCCATAGAAGATTTCATTGCTGTTAGGTTTACATTTGTATTTCTGAGACAGGGCACCATCACCACCGCTGCCTTTGCATAGTTTGCACAATGTAGACTCAAGAGGTGCACCCGGCGCACAGCTTTCTCTGAAGAATGTATCTAGCATGGGATCAGAGAACAAACATTTTAATACTTTTATATATATTATTATAACATACTCCAATTGGTTGTTGTGTTGGATTTCAGTTTGCATAGTCCCCAGAAAGCATGGGAAATGCATCAGATTGGGTGATCTAGGACTAGCAATCCTGTAGTTGTAATAAAGCTAACTATTGACAACTAGATCTACAAAATCTGGACCCAAATCCAAAATATTATTATTGGGAAGCATGGCCAGCTTAAAAATGCCAACTTCAGAATTCTGGTTTTTCAAAATATGTAACTGACTATCACATTACAAATTAAGGAACTACCAACAGCAGGGTTCCTCAAGAGGAACCCAGAATTTGCTCTCAGTCATATTAGGTTAAAAAGAAAAAACTGTGCTGGTTTTTTCCAAAGAATGACCAGCTCCAATAAAGAGGATCAGTTGCAGAGGTGGTTACCAGTTTATCTGCTGGAAAAAGTGCATTTTGTGATTGGTAATGTTAAAAAAGGTAGCCATTTTATGAAAGGCAAGCCTTCCCATTGGTAGCCATTTTGTGAGGATACATACAAACATACCTTCACAAATCAGAAAGACTCTGGGAGCACTTATCTGATTAATAAATTTTCTGAGTAATAAAAGCCTATCATAAACGTATATGTGTCTCCTGGCTACAATTGATATTTTGAGATATGTCTAACAGCACCCCAAAATTATCTATATCTGCTCAACTGCATTCTTCAAAATGTGAACAATGATAGTTTTTAACTGAGTGCTCATGCTCTTAGTCAAAAAAATTATTAATTAGAGTTCACTTTAGCCATCTTTTAAATAGTATGGAAGGTGATGTGCCAGAATTTTCAGAAATATAGCAGTTAAAGCTAATCGTTGAGAGAAAAAGGAATAAAAATGTTTATTTTTCATTTAATTTTCATCAGGAACTTTAGATAAAAATTGAATTAGGAATAGCTTTCATAAAGTTCATTTGCTTTCTGGTGTTCCATTTATTCCATAAATTTCAATGCAGCAGTCTAATGTTGCAAATTCCTTTGCACTCCTGTATTATCTTAGCAGAATGCTATTTTAAGGACTGACATATACATATCTTAAGAAGAATTTCAACTTGGGGCAGGGCATGCACAATGTCTTATTTAAAAACATTTTGAACTTGAGTTTTTAATAAAGGTTCATTAAATTTCTAGTGCAAAATGTCCTGTTTTGAGTACTTTTTTTTTTTTTTTGCTTTAATTTATATGCCGCCCTTCTCCGGAGACTCAGGGCAGCTTACAATGTGTTAAGCAATAGCCTTCATACTTTTGTATATTTATACAAAGTCAGCTTATTGCCCCCACCATCTGGGTATTCATTTTACCTACCTTTGAAAGGATGGAAGGCTGAGTCAACCTTGAGCCTGGTGAGATTTGAACTTGCAGTAATTGCAAGCAGCAGATGTTAATAACAGTCCACTGTACTACAGGCTCTTACTTTGGGGAGAGCCTGAAGCTCAAAGTAAAACATTTCACCAAAAATGTGCTCAAGACATTTTAGATAAAACACTTTGCATGCCCCTAATATTTATGTTACTTTATTTTTAAAAAAAACTAAAGAAGAAAAAACTAGTGATAGTTTTGAATCTGAAACATTATCAAGAAATGAACATAAGGTCTTTTTCCATCTATAGCCGATCACTCTTTCTTTCTTCTTTTTCCACTTGAAATACTTGAGGGGGGGACACAATTAATGCATAACCCTTTGGTAACCCTTTGGAACTACAGAAGCTGTTGTCCTAGAAGCACTGGATCCTTTACAGCAGTGTTTCTCAACTTTAGCAGCTTTATCACGTGTGGACTTCCATTTCAGAATTCCTCAGACAGCATGGTTCAGAAACACTGTTTTAGAGGATGGGTGAGGTAGTAGTATAAAAAACATAAGCAACCATATGGACATAAAGCCACTCACCAAAGTTACAACTAAGATTATTCTGATTGTTAATGAGGCCCATGGGAATAATCCAGCCAACAGTTCTACCAACACCAGTATGACAGGAGGTCTTTCCTCTCAGAGTGGTCCAGTTGATGTCAGCGTCACGTTTCTTAGCAACAGCTACAGCATAGTAGCCTTTACCTGGAAAACAAGAAGCAGACTCAGCATTTCTCCACTGACAATTCAAATAACCTCACAGAAGGTAGGCATGGTCCAGTGACTCCTTCACATCTTTTGCAAACATTTAAAGAGAAAAGAGTTCACCTGCGTATAGGAAACCTAAGTACAGGTAGACCTCAACTTACAACTGTTCATTTAGTGACCATTCAAAGTTACAACAGCACTTTGAAAAAAGTGAGATAAGGCCATATTTCATGCTTATGACTGTTGCGGGATCTCCATTGTCACAAGATCAAAATTTAGACGCTTGGCAACTGACTCTTGTTTATGACAGTTGCACCGTCCTGGGATCACTTGATTCCCTTTTGCGACCTTCTTACAAGCAAAGTCAATGGGGAAGCCAGATTCATTTAACAACCATGTTACTAACTTAACAATTGCAGTGATTCACTTAACAACTGCAGCAGTTGTTGCAAACCTGGAAAGGTCATAAAATGGGGCAAAATTCACTTAACAACTGTCTCAGCAACAAACATTTTGGGCTCAGCTGTGATCATAAGTTGAGGACTATCTGTATTTTGTCCAAAAAAAAGGAATTTTCTTCAATAGATTAGGAAGATAGGTACAGAATATTTGACCAAGTTTTAAATTGCCAAATAAAGGCTTAGATGTTTGCAGATCTCTTAAATGGCAATATATTCACCATAATTACCTACCTGTTACACCTTTCTTGGGATCACACAGGCAGAAGAATCTTCACCTAGAAGATATAAAAATAAAAATAGGATTTGGAGAACTCACTTCAAGCTCAAGCACATTCCATTTTCATCTACCTTTGTCTGGACTACAGGAAAGGTGTCTTGTAAACATAGACCTAAAAGCAGATAATGCCAAGCGTATTTGCAAAATAAAGGACACCATTATGGAGTGCAAGGCATCTGAACTCAAGACATAAAGTCTATAATCTAGGACTGATGATGCTGGTGATCAAAAAGATGGACTCAATTTCTATCCATCCTCTTACAATTTTGCAATGGGCCATGCATATCACTCTTTGGGGATGAGGTAAAAGTATTAGATCACTTGGTGAACATGACAATGAAAAGGAGGAAATGATCCAAGAACAGTAGGGAGGACTGAGGTGACTTGGAACAGATTTTCCTCCTTTCAGATCTGATGCCTGAACACCTATGTTTTTCTTAGTCTAAAGATCTAAAATGGCATGCCATCAGTCATTTTCATGCACATAATTGTGGCTATTACCCTGAGGGCAGTGGGATTGCTTCTGAAGACTATATGCTGGGAGACTAGTAGACTCTGTTATGCAGTTGGATGGCCACATGGAGACAAACTACTGGAATACACGGGCCAGAGTCCTATATGGCAGGTCACTTCTTATGTACTTACAACAGCTATTGATCTACTGAGTTCAGACTTACGAGGGATTTCTGTCAATATTGGGACAAGGCCACATTTTCCAGCAGTGTAGATATGCCCGCCATCCAAGGTAATGGCATCAGCTTCTCTTTTCTGCAAAGACCAATGTATTTTCTATCAGCAAATACATTTCCTAATATTTGTCTTTACATGATTAAAATGAATCATTCATGCTCAGCAGGGATCCCCAGGTTTTTTTTAAAAAAATACATTGCGTGGGGAGGGGGAGAGAATCTCATCAATATTTTGAATAACCAATCTTATCTGAGCACACTCAATGGGACAGAGGAGTGATGAGCACTGAGGAAACAAAACTGAAAATCTTGGACAGAGAAGCAAGAAAAAAATGAATCATTATCTTCTTGTTTCCTGCTGTTGGGTTTTCGGGTTTGTAGAACTATAGCAGTCTCCGTATATTTTTCTCCAAAAGAGTGGAGAGAGATTATGTTTTTTATAATGGTTTTAAATGCATTGTGAGCCGCCCTGAGTCTTCGGAGAGGGGCGGCATATAAATTGAATAAATAAATAAATAAATGACAGGAGAGTCAAGGTAAATCCAACATTTTCAGGATCTTGTCCATAGAAATCAAGGTATAGAAATTCCTAAATTTCCAAACAGAACATAGTAGAATAAATAATACAGAGAATATTGACCTAACTGAATAGCAGTAAAGATATGTACTGTCTCATGCTGTGGATGGACATTTTCTGGTTCACTTTGGGATTTAATCCAAGGGATTAAATCAGTTGGTCCCTAATCCTAGGACCAATTGATATTACTGAAGAAATAAATACAAAGAGGACAGGTTACAATTCCATATTTTATTTCAAAATAAAATAAGAGGAGAAAAGTAATGGAGAGAGGCTCCAAACGGAGGAGATAAAAGTTAAATGGCACTGGTTTTGCAGGCAGAGACATCACAGTAAGTGCAGAGGTAAAACTGTCCTCATACTGGTACTCTTTAACTATTTCAATCATTCCCAGTTTAAAAACATAGGGGTTATAATTCAACATATCTGTAGGACCTCAGGGTGGGAACACTACACTATGCACTCAGTGCATTGTTGCAGAGGCCTCTTGCCCAGTATGAAAGACTCATAACATGGGATTCCTGGGATATATTCAGTTAACATGTACCAGCAAAATCACAAACTTCTTGTTTATTTTACTAGTGTCTTTTTCATGGATTGCACTAGTATCCTGGTTTTTAAAAATATTTTTTCAACTAAAGTGCCTGGACTCAATCACTATTTTCATGTGAAAAGGTATGTGGAAACTTCAAACACTTACTATGATCTTGATAAGGCAATCTTCTGTAGTTTCTGCAACAGCACATTCAATGGCACCATCGCTCTGTGCACTCCACACATAACATTTTTTCTGTTCAGCCTTGCCCACTGCACACCACACAATACTTTCTGTGGTATCAGGATCTGAATCAAATCTCTCTAAAGGACAAGACATATCTCAGTTAACCAAGTATTCAGATTCCTCAGAATATTGCAAACTAATTGCTGGTAAACAGAGACCACTAATATAAGAACCACTGTAAGCTTCAGTGTACCATCTTTATGTTCTAGACTCAAATTAGGGCGGAATGGAGGAAATCGCTGCAGCCACAGCCAATTCACCACATCAACTCGCCACAACCAACTCACTACAGGACAATTCAACAATTCAATTTAATTATTTAAAATAATTACTAATAATAACTAAAAATGATTTTAGTTTTTGTCATTCACATTTCATTTTGCCCCTCCTTTGGCATCCTTTTTTAATGATCCTGTTCTACTATTTCTTTGATATTAGTGTAACTCTTGTCCCGCGACAAGTTCTCCAGTGGCTAGTTGGCTATGACAAGTTGTTGTAGACCTGGTTATTATTTATTATCTGTTCACTATATGTCAGTCGTGAAATGTAAAATTTGTTACTACCGGTTCTGTGGGCATGGCTTGGTGGGAGGGTTAATGTGACTGGTGGGCGTGGCCAACTTTTTTTTTTCTTTTAAAAGCATTTTTTCTACAACCTTAACAGGTTGCAGAAAAAAATGCTTTGAGAAGCCTCTGACGATCAGGTAATGCAGATGGGATTGCCAGAGGCTTTTAAAGGCATTTTTTTTTCTACAATCTCTTCGGCCGAAAAGGTTGCAGAAAAAAATACTTTTAGAGGCCTCTGATGATCCCAGCTAAGCCGCGCAATCATCAGAGGCTTTTTTTTAACTTTTAAAAGCATTTTTTTTGGTCGAAGATGTTGTAGAAAAAATGCTTTTAAAAGTTAAAAAAAAAGCCTCTAATGATCGCGCGGCTCAGCTGAGCATGGGGGATTTTTGCTACTGGTTCTCCAAACCACCCACCGCCATCGCTACCGGATTGGGGGATCCAGTCCCAACTGGGAGCATTTCACCCCTGCTATATGTGAAATCACAACTGTCAGTTCTTTAGCTGTTGTTGGCCTTTATATGCATCGATTTCTTCCCAAGGACCTAGGTTGTTATAATATATTGATTTTTCAATTCTGCCTTGCTTCTTAATGTTATTGTTTTATTATTGTATAAATAATGATATTCAACTGTCTTGATTTTTATAAGGAAAATCAGAAAAACAGAATTGAGAGGGGAAAGAAACACAAAAAATGTTCTTTAGAGGCTTTTGTTCTAGAACACTAGTATCCAAGATACTTAAAGGGTTATTTAGCCATTTTAGAAAAATAGTAGAAATTAATGACCCAATTAAAACATAGCTGCACTAAGAAAAACTTTAGACCTCGTTATTGTATGCTTGAGCTTTACATAGTTTGCTATTTTATTTAGCATGAAAACGTTTCTGTTCTAGCTCCCAGATAATCCAAAACAGACTGCCTGGCTGCTGGTGGTACAACATTTTACCTCAGGTCACTTGAAAAATTGTTATTTATTTAGCATATGTCAACTTAAAAAAAGGATTAAATGGTATACCACTGTACTTTTAAAAAAAGTCAGGAAACTGAAATAGGTACTTAGCAAAAGGGGGGAAAAGAGCTTATATATTGTATGTGCATTTTGATGCTTTAACCTTGTACAGGTAGTCCTTGATTTTCTACCACAATTGAGCCCAACATTTCTGTTGTTGTTAGACATTTGTTAAATGAGTTTTGCCTCATTTTACAACCTTTCCTGCCACAGCTGTTAAGCGAATCTCTGCAGTTGATTACTTAGTAACCTGGTTGTTAAGTGAATCTGGCTTCCCCATTGACTTTGCTTGTCAGAAGATCGCAAAAGGGGACCACATGAACCAGTTGCCAAGCATCTGAATTTTGATCATGACTATGATTTATTGCTATAACAGTTTTTCCTCTTGATTTTCAAGAAGGAGAAATCTGGGTCTACTGTTGTGGACTGTCAGCCGCCAGCTTCTCCAACAGCCGAATCGGAGGAAGAGGAGGCATGGGAGTCAGGGTCAGCATCAAGGCAATCAGAGATCCAAGGGGAAAGAGGAATGGAGCTTGCAAAGAGAAAGACAGAGATGGACCCTGGGCCGTCCATCAGCCCTCAGATAGAGAGTCAACAGTCCCCAGGTCTGGAGGTGACTGATGAGGAAGAGGAGGAACAGCTGAGTCCAGTGCCTGACGAACGGATGCACAGAAGGCAGAGAAGAGACAGCAGTGGAAATCTGTGGGACGATCCTTGGGAAGGAAGAGCCACCACTGCTAACGAAGTCCCACCCTAGCTCTGGGGATAAAAGGCAGGGGGCAGAGATGAATAGATGTGACAGACAACTATTCATCTTCCAGCCAGATGGACTTGTTAGTCTGCGTTGAGAGAGAAACTTTTTGCCATGGTCTCTGGCACTCCTAATAAAGGAATATTTGAGTTTACTTCGTAGGGTTTGACATGCTTGGGGAGCTGAGTCAGAACATCTACACTGATTTTTGATCCCCCATCCTATTGCTTATGGTTTGCTATTATTGCCCTATTTATTACTTCAGTGCTACCCTCAGCTAGCCAAACAGAGTAAAATATGAGTCTTAATCACAAACAAATTGGACCTAATCCCGTTATAACACGGGTGTAGCCAAAGCATAATAGTTTCTACTTTGACAAAAGTTTTTCCCCATCACAGAAATTTTAGAGGCAGTCAACAGACTGAATTGCAATTAAGCTAGCAAGTGAACTAATTATTATTTTTTAAAGTTTTCTAATGCCTCATTTTCAATGCCTGTTCATCACTGTGACTTCATAATGCACAACAAGTCCTGCCCTGTTTACCTCTTTTGAGACTCTGAATTGCAGCACTGAATTTAGGACCTAGGTAAAGTTCAGCATCTGTTCGTTCAGGCAATTGAATAAGACCAACCGCACTATCCTTAAACAGGAGATCTTTGCCAGAGTCATGAGGAGATTTAAAAAGTTGGCATCTTGTTTGCTTTTGCTTCATCTGTTCCTAAAATAAGAAAAAACAAATCAAAGAAGAATGAGATGAGATGGAATATGAAAATTAATGGAATATTTATTGTATTTATTCAATTTGATGGGCTTTAATCCACACTCAGGGCCGCAGGCTCAAGCACAAAGCCACATTTTCAAGACCTCAGAAAGGTCAACGGGGGATGGGGTCAATCTAATCTCAGAGGGGATGATGCTCCAATGGACAGATGCCAGGCAACCCTTCCTGTCTGATAGCACTCAAAGCGTACTTTTCTGCCAAATCAGATAGGACTGATAGAGACAATTGATGAAAGGTGATCCTGTATATAGCTCAGTCCAAAGTCACAAAGGGTTTTAAATTGATAACCAGCACTTTGAATTTCATCCGAAAACATATCAGAAGCCAATGCAGTTTACGGAGCAGTGGTGTTACATGTGCCAAGTAACTGGTACTGGTAACCATCTTCATCGCCATGTTTGTACCAGTTAAAGCTTTCAAATCAGTGGTGGGTTGCCTCCGGTTCACACCGGTTCTATAGAACCGGTAGTAAAACTGGCGGGAGGCTCTGCCCACCGAATCTGATGTCATCAAAATGCTTTTACGCATGCACAGAAGAGTTCTGCACTTACGCAGAAGAGTGGGCACACACACGTGTGAAGCAAGCACGCATGCACGGCCCCATTGCAAACCAGTAGTAAAGGTAAGTAGAACCCACCCGTTTCAAATACTCTTCAAGATCAGCCCCACATAAAGTGTATTACACTAGTCCATTACTGGGGATCACAAGGGCATGAGTGACTGTGAGCAGGGCCTCCCCCACCCTTTGAGAGAACAGAGAGAAGTTAGGAAGAACAAAGAATTTTAAATAATGAAACTGAATGAAAAATTCAGGAGCTACATTGCAGGTAGTTTGGGAAAAGACTACTGCAGTGTGAACAAACTCAGAATTAAATTCAGAAGTTTTTTCTAAACCAGAGCCCCCAATTGAAACAGGAAAGAGAATGGTAGCAATTTTGGCTTTATCTTAACCAAAATATTCTGTGACCCACCCACCCCTCTTTCCTTGCATATAATTCTCATCCAATTCTCTTCATTCAACTGATTTATAGAATAAAGGGAAGACCTTTTAAAACCAGGAAACACTATCAGGAGTCAAAAATATCAATTCTTTTTTCCCCCTCCCTGTTATTTTCCAATTTCACTTTCCTTGGTAGCTTTAATGTTTCAATTATTTACTACCCCCAATTTATCTGAACAATCTTCCACACTATACTATTATTGTTCAAATATCACTCTGTCTTATTCACGAAATGTTATGGGAGAGAGGAGTTCAGATGATGAAAACTTTCACCTGTAATTCTTTTATATTTCCTCAAAATTTAGTTCATTTACAAAAAGCAAATGGAATCAATGCACTGTCCTTTAACTGAAACCTGTAGGAAAAGAACTTTGTAGTGTACACCTCAGTCAAAACAGTTTTATTTGTGGCATTCCCTTTTCAAGGTAACATTTTCCTACTAGTAGCTTTAATACATTATTCTTCTTTTAGTCCTTCGTAAAATTGAGACGTTTGTGATATTTATTTTTGATCTCTGTTTTATAAAAAAGGAAAACTTGATAAATACCAGTGCATAAGAGAGGAGTGCCCAGATTTTATCTGTCCAACCATCAACAGATCGTGTCACCACAGCAGGAGCTGGCACACTAGCCCAGTTACAGGATTCATATTCTTCAACAGGCTTTCTGGAGCCATCAACACAAAGTAACTCATATTTGCTTCTTTCTTCTGCACAGTCATCTGTGGAGAATAAAAGGCAACAGTGAGTGTAAGAAAACAAAGTAGGCTCCATCATGTTGTTGTTGTTTATTAAACGTGTATGTCACGTCAATTATTTTTTAAAAAGTAATAATTATTGTAAGGATGAAAAACAAGGACAATGTAAAAGACAAAAAGCAAAAAGAAGGGTAGGGATGCCAGAGTAACAACATTTTAGAAATCCTCATGAAAGGTCTGGGTGAAGAGCCAAATCTTCAGACTCCTTTAAAACTCAAACAGGGTGAGGACCACATTTAGATCCTGGAAGGAAGGAGACCCCTCATTCCAAAGGGCAGGAACTGCAACAGAGAAGGTATGTTTCTGGGATGCTGATAGATGAAATTGCTTAACTGAAGGAATAAAGAGTGCACCAAACTTGCCAAACTGAATTGGGAGACAGGTAGTCTCTCAAATAATTATGAGAGAGAACGAATCCTTTGTTATGGGAGAGAGGGAATCCTTAACTACCTATGCCAGGGTTGTCAAACTTGCGGCCTGCGGGCCAGATGCATCACACACTGGCCACACCCACACCCGATTTAGTGAAGTGGGGGAAAGTTGCAATACGTCACATGACGATGCTGTGACAACGCGAGTTTAACACCCCTGCCCTATGCCATATAAGGCTTTATAGGTAACAACTAGATCCTTAAATGACATCTGGAAACAAACTGGAAATCAGTGCAGCTTTGAAGTGGAGGTGTTACTTCAGTTCTTGCTGCTGCATTCTAGACTAATTGAAACTTCCAGGTGGTTTTCATGGAATCCCCATTGCAATGAAACTATTATATGATCAAAAGTGGAAGGGAAGAGAAAGAATAATTGGTGAAGATGATGAACATTCAGACATGGCTAAATTAACCATTTTGATTAGAGAAAAAAATATATCACCAGTTAAATCTGTGCAAAGGCCTTTCTGTATGTTATTGAACAATAGCTATGAATCCAAGAAGGCCCCTAAGTTATGCACCATCGTTGAATAGGAAATTGCAGTTCCATGAAAGATCAGAGATAAAATATCTGCAGATGTGGGTGGCCAAACAGCCACAGCCACTCAGTCTTGATAGAACCAAGTCATTTCCTCCCTATCCAAACCTTCATAATCCCCAGGCTCCAGGACAGAAATTCAGCAGGTTTCTTTGGTTGACCAGGTTTGAAATATATAATTGAATCTTATTGACATATTGATGATACCAAACCAAAACTGATGGATGATCTCAACAAGTGGCTTCATGTTGATGTTGAAAAGAAGGGAAGAGAGAATAGAACCCTACAAAACCAAACACAGGAGAGGTCTAGGAAGTAATCTCACCCCTACCCTCAACTAAAATTAATTAGAACTGGCTCTGGAGAAAGGAACAGAACCACCAAAAAGCAGTGCCTCAATCCTCAACCAACAGAATTGTGTCAGTAGGATACCTTGATTAACAATATTGATAGATCAAGGAACACAAGCATGATATATCACCACTATCCTAGCTCTGCTACAAAACAGTCTCAGTATTAAATCATGACTGAAACCTAACTGAAAAAGGATTAGATAATCAGTTTTCTCCAGAGTTCTCAACAACTGCAAATCAAGCATCTTCCCAACAACCTTCCACAGAAATTGAGAATTAGAAGCTAGTGATAATTATTGAAGACTGTTGGGTCGAAGGATGACCTATGGGGACGGAGTGCATCATCACTTCTATTAAGTTTGGGAGCACTAATCCATTCATCAAAGAGGTTGACACTATAGCATGGAGCCATCTGCTGATTTCAAAACCCAGAAGGAATCCAGATCTAATAAACAGGTGACCGAATTGATAGCACAGAGAGCCCTGTCCACTTCCTCAGGAATCACTGGCTCAACAAAAGTGATACAGTACAAGCCTTGGCACCTGTCCACTTCAGACAGCAATTAGAGCCGCAGCTGAACTGTCCACCAGGAAACCTCCAAGCTCTCTCTGGAACTCCACCGGGTTCAATTAATCCCCTGGGACAGGTAAATTGAACGGGCCCTGTCTCCCTTGCATATTTAATGTAATACCATTTTCTCTCTCTCAATTGCAGACCATCATACAATATCATAAACAGGTTTTGAAATTCCTGTTTCAAAACCGGCTTGTCACATATTCTTGTAAGACTGTTATTCGGGAAATTTCCACATTTAATGCGGTTGGTACACTTTGCTTAAAAGCATGTACAGTGCTATTCAGTGGTGGGTTGCCCCTGGTTTGGACCAGTTTTATAGAACCGGTAGTAAAACCACCTGGAGGCTCCACCCACTGACCTGGACGTCATCAGAACCAATCTGCACATGTGCAGAAGCTTCTGTGCATCCACAGAAGAGTGCGCCCGTGTGGGCACGATTCAAACCGGTAGTAAAGGTAACTAGAACCCACCCTTGGTGCTATTATATGTATAGATTTCATCTATCTTCCCAAAAATGGTAAGTACACCGCAAGCTTTTTCGGGAACCCCTCTAGAAAACTGGAGTTGAGGCCCCAATAGATGAGTACTAGATAAAATGAAATCCATCTGCAAATAGTCATAAATTTAAGCACTTTTTGGTATTTGAATTAAAGGTTAGCATTTTCCAAGATTCATACCTAACACGACTCCCTCATCCACAAAAGCCACATCTCCAGATCCAGATTTCAGACACCTTATGAAAAAAAGGATAAAATATTAGGAAGTGGGTAGTGGTTAAGTATTATATTTCTTGCATCTTGTATGATGCTATCACCCACATTTCTGCTTTTTCAACTGAATAGAAGCAACCTACCCAAACTGCCCAAATACAGCTAGCCAAAGCAAATGAGGCACTGGTTTAGGGTACCAAAATTTAGGTTGTGCCAATACTGCCCCTATTCCAAAAACAAAGGCACTTCTAAAAATACAAATCTGTACATTGATGGGAGGTAGCAGCATCAGTCAATGTGTGACCCATATCTTCAAGCTAACACTGCTGATATTGTACTTTAATTATGTTTCTTACCAAGAGAATAAATAAATATGAACTGAATAGAGAACTTTTACAGGAAATGAGTAGTGAGAATATGGAAGAAGAATCAAGGCAGGAGTAAGACAACTGATTTCTCTCTGGTTAGGCAATTTGTCCATCTAGCCCAATATTGTGCAAACAGACTGGCAACAGTTCTTTAGGATCTTGGACAAAACACTTTGCCATCACTGAAAACCAGAACTGTGCCTAGTTGAAGAACCTGAAACCTTTGGTAATTAAGATAAGAAATGAACTATTGACTTACATCTTGTTACAGTTAGTCCTCAATTTACGACCACAATTCAGGTGAAAATTTCTGTTGCTAAGCGAGACAGATAAGTGAGTTTTGCCCCCATTTTACGACCTTTCCTGCCACAGTTGTTAAGTGAATCACTGCAGTTGTTAAATTAGTAACATAGTTGTTAAGTGAATCTGGCTTCCCCATTGACTTTGTTTGTTAGAAGGTCACTGTAATGGCTTTCCCTGGCACTTCCCTGGACAAGTCTCTGGATGCTAGCTCAGACGAGGAAGAACTGGGTCTAGGAATATTATGTGGGGGGACATGGAGGAGTGTCCAGAGATTGCTGGAAGCTCTAAGCCAGGAATGGCGAGGCCGAGCACTGCAGAGCTATCACAGGAGGAGTGACAAGATGAGAAGCTGGTTGACAGGAGAGGCATAGCTGCAGCTGGGAAGCCCAGAGGCTTTGGGTGGAGAAGGTGCACAGCTGGCCAGTGGAGATAAGAAAGAACTGCCTCCTCCTAATTCGAAAGCACGTAGGGCTGAGAGGAGGCAGGCACAAGAAAGTCAACCAGGCTACTTGCGAGGTGACTCTTGATGGGCTGCACCAGAGAGTGAAACAACGCTAGGAACAACATGTCTGTTTTCTTGCCGTGTGTTCTTTAACCACCGTAAGTCTTGCCTTGACTACACCACCTGGATTCTATACCTCAAACTTTGGATCGTGCCTCTTGAATTAAGGACTTGCCTTTGCTTTGCGGATGTGCCTTTGCCCTGTGGACTGACGTGGGTTTTTCCTTGAATAACGTATTGAACTCTTTGAGAATGGTGCTGGTGTGGATGTGAGGAAGACTATTTGGGGCTTGGGAAGCATCAGTAAAGACTTCTAACACCCGTGGAGTGTGCATGTGTGAGCAGGACAAGACAGTCACAAAAAGTGATCCCATGAAAGCAGCACACTGCAACCATTGTAAATATGAGTCAGTTGCCAAGCATCTGAATTTTGATCACGTGACCATGGGGATGCTGCAATAGTTGTAAGTGTGAAAAATGGTCACAAAATGGTTACTTTTTTCAGTGCCACTGTAACTTCAAACAGTCACTAGACAAACTGTTATAACCCGAGGACTACCTGTACTGAAAAAGGAATATCTGGCAAGAGATGGATGAAGGGCAAATGGAACATACATGATCCAAAAGATTCACTCTGGGTAACATTTAGAGTTCCATTATCCAATAGAAGAACTTAATACTATACTGCTACCATGTAAAAATACGTAGCCTACTTCTTGGTGCAGACAGTAGCAGGACTGATTCTTGAACTGGTTGTATGTTGTCCTAGTCAGTCATCCAATTGCAGGCAACTAACATATTAATAAATAGAAGCAATAAACAAGAGCTTATTGGATATTCTCAATGGTAATACTGTACATTGGGGGAGAAATGATCAGCTGAAAAACAATTATAGCAGTCAAAATGGAGAAGGAACAGTGGGCAATATACAGCAGGTTGGGAGCATTCTAGACCAGGGGTCTCCAACCTTGGCAACTTTAAGCCTGGAGTACTTCAACTCCCAGAATTCCCCAGACCTCTGAGAATTGAAGTCCACCAGGCTTAAAGTTGCCAAGGCTGGAGACCCCTGTTCTAGAGCACATCAGCGGTGCTTTGCTGCATGCAGTGGAAGATGGTCAGGGATAAGATCTACAACAAATTGGAGCTACTCTCCAGGAGCAGGAGGGCTACTAACAATTTGAGGAGATTTTAAAGATCTCCATGCAACACTGGTTCCCTACCATACATGTAAAAATGCACCCAAAAAGTGGCCTGACTTGCATGACTATATGCATGACCACACCCCAAGGACAACATCATTTGGAAATGGAATTACCCACCACTGCAATATGTATAATAAGGCTCATGTATGTGTAGCTTTGGGAACTTTAACTTTAACATTTAACTTTAGCTCAAGGTTGACTCAGCCTTCCATCCTTTCGAGGTAGGTAAAATGAGGACCTGGTTTGTGGGGGCAATAAGCTGACTTTGTATAAAAAAAGAACACCGCTTGGGGGGGCGGGCGAAAGCCCTACTAAGCAGGTATATACAAAAGTATGACAGCTATTGCTTAACGCATTGTAAGCTGCCCTGAGTCTCCGGAAAAGTCTCCGGCATATAAATCGAATCAAATAAATAAATAAATAAACATGAGATTCTGCACATTATAGCATCTGAGTGATATTGCTTTTGTCTCTGCCTTATTTGATGATCCTTTGTTTCTATCATAGTTTTTTAAATTAGTCCTTCATAGGGCTTTGATTCTCCTGCCCTGAAGTGCCATTTCTCTGTTCATTATGTATAGCAGCACAGTGAATGCAGTAGTGTAGCGGTGAATTCTTTTGGTCTATGTGCAAATCTCACAGAATTCAGTTCCCAGTGGGAGCTAAGAGCAAGTGGAAGGTTTTTCTGCATTGGAGGGGTAGTCCTTGATTACAATCATTAGTTTAGTGACCATTTGAAGTTACAACAGAACTGAAAAAAGTGACTTATGACAGTTTTCCACATGACCATTGCAGCATCCCAATGATCACATGATCAAAATTCAGATGCTTGGCAACTGGTAGGTATTTATGACAGTTGCAATGTCCTGGGGTCATGTGATGACTTTTTGCAACCTACTGACAAGCAAAGTCATTGGAAACGCCAGATTCAGTTAACAACCTTGTCACTAACTTAACAACTGCAGCAATTCACTTAATAATTGTGGCAAGAAGGGTTGTAAAATATAGCAACCTTCTCTTCATAATTTCCCTTGCTTAGCAACAGAAATTATGGGTTCAATTGTGGTGGTCATACATTGAGGACTACCTGCATATGAAGGCTAAAGGGATTTGCATATCAACTAAGAGGGAAGTGGGACAACAAGACTGTAATTATCTCTTAAATAAAGGTTGGAAGTTGTTCACATATTTAACTTTAATTTTTTCTTTGTTTTTCATTTCCTGTACTTTCTTATTTCTTTCTCCCTTTTTCTTTCTTTTTTTCCCTTTCAAATTGTCTTTTATTCTGTAAAAAAATATTTTATTCTATGTGAACAGAATGTGAATTTTAAAAAGTTGAACTTAAATGGAGGGCATGGACCCTTATAAAATATATTTCGGAAATAGTTATGGAAGCATGATAAAAGTTTACCATGGCTTATGGGGGAAAGCATGTGTCACTTACTGATAGGCTCCTGCATATCCAGCATAAGGATCATTCAAGTCACAGGTTCTGGTGTGACAAGCAAGGCACAGATTTAGTATATTTTTGAGACCTGGGACACAACCGACGTCAAAAAAATTTCCTACAGCTGTAAAAAGAAATCAGATGGGTAAGTCTTTGACGATAAAGGTAACAGGTCCTTTATATTATTAAATTGCATTCTTCAAGTTTGGTTCAGAATTGGATTGAACATACTGTGCCTCACATGACATGCTTGAAGTCTTATTGCCTTCCGCCGTGCCCTTAAAACCCATTTTTTCCAGCAAGCCAGGCTGGCTTAAGAAGAAATTTTTTAAATGTTTTAATTGGTTTATGATTTTTAATTTTTGGGCCAAATTTATATATATATTTAATTGTTTTTTAATATTTGTATTTCATGTTCTTAATTCTGGCTGTAAACCGCCCTGAGTCCTCAGGGAGAAGGGCGGTATATAAATTGGAAATAAAATAAAAATAAAATAAATTATATTCAAGGGTGACAGAGGCATCGTTCCTTCAAAGGAAGTACCAGTAGTTACTAAACAATCTCAAATCGGAACATTTCACATTCCCCTGTGATGTCAAAGATTTGCTGGATCATAAATCTCACACATATGTTACTTATGGACAGCAGCTGCATACCAGTTGAGAAAGTATGGTCCCTACAAGGTCATATAAGTAGGCACACTTCTTGGATCCTACTCCATAATTACATTAGGTAATAAAAATGTAGGGCAATAAAAATATTGTTTTATATATGGAACATTTTACTGTAGCTGTGTTTATATGAAAGGAATATATGGAGAGGCAAAGGGGGAAAAAAGAAAAGATGAAGAAATGTTCCTATTCTTAAATGCAAATACACATCACACGGTTTTCTTTTAGAGTAAACAACTTGTGTAGAGTCCAAAAAGAGAGTAATAAATAATATACCAAAGAAATTAAATACATAAGATAAATAATAATAATAATAATAATAATAATAATAATAATAATAATAATAATAATAATTTTATTTCTATACCTCCCTTCTCCCGAAGGACTCAGGGCGGTGTACAGCCTATTTAAAAACACAAGACAAAACAACGGTTAAAAATTTAAAATAATTAAATAGATTTGGCTCAATTTAAAACCCCAGAAATTTAAAATACCCCAATTTAAAATTATTATGTTGATAGCCCGGCCTGGCGGAACAACAGGGTCTTCAGTGCGCAGCAAAACACCCGGAGGTCGGAGATCTTACGTATTTCCGGGGGCAGTTCATTCCACAGGGCTGGGGCTCCCACAGAGAAGGCCCTCCCCCTGGGTGTCGCCAGCTGACATAACTTGGCCGATGGCACCCTGAGGAGACCCTCTCTGTGGGAGCGGACTGGCCGGTGGGAGGCTATTGGTGGCAGAAGACGGTCTCGAAGGTACCCGGGTCCTATGCCATGGAGCGCTTTAAACATGGTAACCAACACCTTGAATCGCACCCGGAAGACCACTGGGAGCCAGTGCAGCTCGCGCAGGAGGGGTGTCACGTGGGCACAATGAGTTGCACCCATAACCACCCGTGCGGCCACATTCTGGACCAGTTGGAGCCTCCGAGTGCTCTTCAAGGGGAGCCCCATGTAGAGAGCATTACAATAGTCCAACCGGGAGGTAACAAGGGCATGAGAGACTGTGCGCAGGGCATCCCGGTCCAGAAAGGGCTGCAACTGGCGAATCAGGCGAACCTGATAAAAGGCCCCCTTGGCCACGGCCGTCATATGCTCTTCTAAAGACAGCCGTGCGTCCAGGAGGACACCCAGATTGCGAGCCCTCTCTGTGGGGGGCAAAGATTCACCCCCAATAGTCAGCGATGGCACCTGCTGACTATATTCGGGCGCCGGAAGCCACAGCCACTCGGTCTTGGAGGGGTTGAGTCTGAGCCTGTTCCTCCCCATCCAGACCCGCACGGCCTCCAGGCAGCGAGACATCACATCAAGGGCATCGTTGGGGTGGTCTGGGGTGGAGATGTACAGCTGAGTATCATCAGCGTACAGATGACACTTCACCCCAAAACCACGGATGATCTCGCCCAGCAGCTTCACATAAATGTTGAACAGGAGGGGCGAGAGGACCGACCCTTGCGGCACTCCCCATGCGAGATGCCTCGAGGTCGACCTCTGCCACCCTGCCAACACAAACTGCGAGCGGTCAGAGAGGAAGGAGGAGAACCACTGCAGAACGGTGCAATCGGAGTCCAAGCCATCCCGAATCCGAGCGACTTTATCATGCAGGAATTGCACAAAATCCTCAGCACGACCCCGCAAGGGATCTTCCCGCACTCCCCCCCAAAGAAGGGAGTGGGTCACCCTAAACAGGGCGGCTGGGCGGTTCTCTACAGATGCGATAAGAGCGGAAAAATGGTTAGATTTTGCCACTTTTATCGCCACTAGGTAGGTCTTGATATAAGACCTCACCTGTGTCCAGTTGGAATCGGATTGACTAGTCCTCCAAATGCTCTCTAGGCATCTTTTCCAACGCTTCATCTCTCTCAGCTCCTCAGAGAACCAAGGAGCCAATTGAGATCGGCATCGGGTCAGAGGCCGCAAAGGCACGATGCGGTCCAAAGCTCCAGCGGCCGCCCTTTCCCAGGTGGCCACCAGCTCTTCAGTCGAGTCGTGTGTTAGAGTCTCAGGAAACGGCCCAAGCTCCGTCAGGAACCTTTCGGGGTCCATCAGGCGCCTGGGACGGAACCATCTGGTCGGTTCCATCTCCCTGCGGCGGGGGAAGGCGGTAGGAAAGTCTAAGTGGAGGAGCGAATGATCTGTCCATGACAAGGGTTTGATATCTAGGTCCCCTCTACCAAGATCGTACATAAGAAGTGTACATAAAACCATTTTATATTCATACCATTCATTCAACCTTTCAACCTAATCATATATTTCTATCCTTGCAAATCCTTTCTTTATCACACACATAACTACACATAACTACTTCATGTGATTTTTATTTTGGGGAATTCAAAAGATTATACTAAAACCCTCAACTTCATGATACCACTTATGATAATTCACATGGAGCATACACTTTTATAAAGTTTTAATGGTGCCAGACTTATTCTCTGATAACTTTACTATCCTTTTCTGCTCTGCTCTTCAGTGTGTGATCATTTGCCTTTATTTATTACCATTTCCGCATTCTCAGTTCCTCCTGCAGTATAATTTATTTCAGACAATTCTACCCAGGACAAATCATGTCTTAATGGAAGTATTGCCCTTACTGAGAGGCTTTTTGCATTTTCATAAATTTAAGCATGATGCTTTCTGTTAAATTATTTCTATTATGAATACAGCTGGAAAATCTCTGAGGAATTGTTTTTTTTTAAAGGACTAATTTGACCAGGTATACAGGCTTATGATATAAGCTTGCAAAAACATCAAACTAGAGTTAAAGGGAATAGAACTAAAACTTCAATTCCATTTTTGATATAATTCTGTTCTCAATATGAGCACTTGCTTAAAAGCCCAAAAACCTCTGTTATTACAAGAACTAATAGAGAGAGATGGATTTTCCCATTGTACAAAAAAAAAAATTACAGAAGGTTTTGATGTCATATTTATACATGCGTGCAATCCCACCACGGTTGCCCATATTCCATACTAAGATAGCATTCTACTCTTTCTTGGCCATCTACAGTAGTTCCCAACATGAATTAATCCAAAAATACCCTCTACCTAAATTAGTTTTATTTCCAGAGTGGCTTATACCCTCAGCCTGAAAAGGCTGATTGAAGCCATGACATTAGGGAAACCTTCTGTGCTTGTGAAGTGAATAGTCATTGTTCATCCCCCCTCCTTTTTTTTTTCTGTTTTTTTTCAGAAATTTATCAGGGTGATTGTTTTAGGGACAATGGGAGAAGAAATGTGTGTAGGATATATTCTCTACCTGTAAAAATAATAAATATGGATATAGATGATAAATAGACAAATAGAACTATAGAGATTTTTCTTACCATTTTCTACAGGTACTGATTCTGTTCCATCCCACTGTATCAAATTCTTAGACACAAGAGTTCCTACTGGGATGATCCAGCCTGCAGATCTTCTAAAACCAGTGTGACAAGATCTCTTCCCTTTGAGCTCTTCAAGTGAAGAAATAGTTCCTTTCTTCACAACAGCAATGGCATGATAACTAGTAGTAGTTACTGATAAGGAAAGAAGGAAAAATCAAATGTAGGTTATAGCTATAGTCTCTATCTATTTCCAACAAGATTGTTTAAGAAACAATTTGTAGCAAAATGAACAAACTTCATTATCCTGTAATATCCTTATACTATAGAGGAAACAGCAAAATATATATTTAGGAGTGGGCTTGCCAATGTACTTCTATTGTAATTGCTTGTAATGTTAACAAACTGAAACTACTTGTATAAATGAATTAAATAAATTAAAGACTAAAGCACCATGATTGTGTTAAGGTGAAATTGATGACAGCAAATGTAACACAGAGATTGTATCTTGAAAAGGAGGAAGGACACGCTTTCTCTTTTGATCAGTCCAGAGGACTTTCCCAGTTGGGGGCTCTGGTAAATGTGATCCAAAGAAAACATCAGGTCACCATCATAACTAAAGGAGAGGAAGGAGTTGAAATTCTGAAAGGGGATTTCTGAAACTGACTTGGTTTCCAGAAGTTTGTGTGCAGGAGTCTGGCAGCCTAAGGCTGAAGAGTGGAAAAACCCTGAGCATGTGAAAGTATCCTAGCACTGCATCCTTGGATCACAAATCCAAAACTCATTTTAAATACATCTGTAGCCTCCAGGAGTCAAAACCCAGAAAGGGCATTGCAGTATTTCTCAAACTTGACAACTTGAAAATTCCCAGAATTCCCAGGCCTGTCTGAAGAATTCTAGGAATAAAGTCCATACAACTTCAAGTTGTCAAGTTGGACTGGACTGGAACATAAACCTGGCATGCAGCAAATCCCCAACTCCAGTCCCTGATGGCTTCATTTGAGTGCATTTCCAAGTGGATTCTGCGTGGTGAGCTATAGCAACCCACATATCTAGTTTAATTCATATTAGCAACTTTATCTTTATTTCGTTATCAAATTCGTAAGGCCACTCATTGATTTTACAAAACTATGGTTGGCAAACACCAGCAATATAACAGTAAAAATCCAAGCCAAAGTCCTCTTATTAAAAACACAAAATATCTATGCTGTATGTCTACCCCAGAACTCCCAAATTAATAGCCTGGCCCAAATATCTGGGAGAAGAGCCAGGTTTTCATGGCTTTCTGAAAGGCAGTATGGTTGGAGTTATCCATACCCTGGGCAGGTCCCATGACACAGAAGGGCCCTTATCATCTCCCTCCCAATGAGCAACCATTGAATGAATTATGCAGTCTCTTTGCATTTTCAGATCAATCCTATTCAAATTTACCTCCTGAGCTTTTTTGATGAAGTTCAGCTATAACAGGCTTTAGATAATAAGGGTTCAAGCTTGCTTCTAAAATAAGACCGGCATCTAAAGTGATGGCATCTGCTTCTGAGTTCTAAAAAAACATAAAAGTAAGATAATAAGGAGAAAGTATTTCTTTGGCATAAAATATATCATGAATGCATAACAGTTATATCTCCTTGTTTCTTCCTAGATCTGGAAATTAACATAACTTCCTTTTCTTTCACAACATATTTGCCATGAAGGGTGATAATGCTATCTTGAACAGAGCACTGGGCTAAGATACAAAGATGTAATAGAACAACAAGGAAAACTGAAATTAAAACAAGAATTGGAATTGGATTTAAACAGAGACATTGACTGGTGGACGTACACACAAATCCAATCTAAATATAAGGAAGATACAAAAACATGTGAAATACAAAGAGAACAAAATGAATTAGATAAAATTATATTAGGGACAGATGAGAAGCTAATTAGTAAGATTTATAAATTTCTATTGCGATATAAAATGGAGGAGGAGGAGATAGTGAAAGACACAATGATTAAATGGGTGCAGAACTTTAATTATACAATAGATTTGGAGAGATGGGAAACAATGTGGCAAGTAAATTCAAAATTAACATTATCCGCGGCATACAAGGAAAACCAGCTGAAGATGTCTTATAGATGGCACTTTTCACCCACAAGACTTGCAAAGATGTTCCCAAATAATATCTCAAATTAAAGAAAGAGACAGATTATTACATAATTTGGAATAAATGGTATGAATGGCTTGAGTCTAGAAATAAAGAAAAATAAATACAGGGAAAAATTAAAAGTATGAAATATGTATATAATAAATGTATAGAAAGGTATAGAAAGGTATAAAATTAAGTTTATCAGTGTTAGAGAATACAGTGTAACCAAAGAAAAAGGGACAATGAAGAAAATGAAATAGTAAAAGAGATATGGGCAGAAAGATACGAAACGGAAAGAAGACCACGAAGAAACACTGTTTTAAAAAGAGGATATATTTATATGTTGTATGTTATGTGATTGTCATATTGTGTCATAATAAAATAATAATAATTTTTTTTTTTTTAAAAAGAAAATTAAAATTAAGCTACAACTTTGTGATTGAAGCCTGGCCTCTTTATTATATGTTTGAGAGAAAATGAATTATTCCTGCAAAAAGTATAACCAAAGTAACGCCATATTTAACCTTTATATAATCTGATTTATATAATCTGGTAATTAGGACATGAATACGCATTAGATTCTGGAAAGGAAAAAGGGAACTGTGATGTTTCTGTGATGCTTGTTTTGAAAAACTGTGATGCTTGTTTTGGGGAAATAAATGTTTTTGGTACATTCTAAATTGGGTCTGGCTGGCCTAAACTCTATTGAAAAGGAGGAAGAGCCTAATGATCTATTAAGGGGAACAATACCAATCATCATGGAAACATCTGTGAAGGGTATTTTCAGAGGGTATTTTTGGAGGGAAACTCCAGGGAGGAACATGTGAAGAGAGCCAAAAAGTTTTATATATGACCTAAAAACAATTCCCTGGGGGGTGGACGGGGGACGTTTGCATTGTATTGCTGTACCTTGAAAACTGTATTTAAACCATGAACTCAAAGTGGTCAGACGTTCTCTCTTTCATGGGAGAACCCTTTTGCAAAAGCTTGAAATATATTTATTTTATTTTATTTATTTTATTTTTGAATTTGTATACCGCCCTTCTCCCTGAGGACTCAGGGTGGTGAACAGCCAAATAAAAACATCAAATACAAATATTAAAACACATTTAAAATATATATATAGATTTGGCCCCATTAATTAAAACGATAAACAAAACAAAACAATTAAAAAACCCTTAAAAAGAAATTAAGCCAGCCCGGCTTGTTGAAAAAAGAAAGTTTTAAGGGTACGGCGGAAGGCACTGAGGTCATGGATTCTCCTTATCTCAGGGGGCAACTGATTCCAGAGGGTGGGTGCCCCCACAGAGAAGGCCCTCCCCCTGGGGGTCACCAGCCTGCATTGTTTGGCTGATGGCACCCCGAGGAGGCCCTCTCTGTGGGAGCGCACGGGTCGGTGGGAGGTCGTCGGTGGCAGTAGGCGGTCTCGAAGATAGCTAGGCCCTATGCCATGGAACGCTTTAAAGGTGATAACCAACACCTTGAAGCGCACCCGGAAGACCACCGGGAGCCAGTGCAGTTCACGCAGGAGCGGTGTTACATGGGAGCGCCACGCTGCTCCCGTCACTACCCGCGCTGCTGCGTTCTGGACCAGTTGGAGCCTCTGGGTGCTCTTCAAGGGGAGCCCCATGTAGAGAGCATTGCAGTAATCAAGGCGAGAGGTTAGGAGGGCATGAGTGACTGTGCACAAGGAATCCCGATCAAGAAAGGGCCGCAACTGGCGGATCAGGCGAACCTGATAAAAGGTCCCCCTGGTTACAGCCGTCAGATGTTCCTCCAAGGACAGCTGCGTATCCAGGACGACTCCCAGATTGCGAGCCCTCTCTGTGGGGGCCAAAGACTCTCCCCCAATAGTCAGTGATGGAGTCAACTGACCATATCGGGATGCCGGGAACCACAGCCACTCAGTCTTGGAAGGGTTGAGCCTGAGCCTGTTCCTCCCCATCCAGATCCGTACAGCCTCCAGGCACTGGGACATCACTTCAAGGGCATCATTGGGGTGGCCTGGGGTGGAGATGTACAGCTGAGTATCATCAGCGTACTGATGGTATCTCACCCCAAAGCCACGGATGATCTCGCCCAGCGGCTTCACATAAATGTTGAACAGGAGGGGCGAGAGGACCGACCCCTGAGGCACTCCACATATAAGAGGCCTCGAGGTCGACCTCTGCCCCCCTGCCAACACGAACTGTGACCGGTCGGAGAGAAAGGAGGAGAACCACCGTAACACGGTGCCCCCCATCCCCAACTCTTCCAACCGGTGCAGCATGATACCATGGTCGATGGTATCAAAAGCCGCTGAGAGGTCTAACAGGACCAGAACAGAGGAGCAACCCCTGTCCCGAGCCCTCCAGAGATCATCAACCAACGCGACCAATGCCGTTTCCGTGCTGTGCCCAGGCCTGAAACCAGACTGGAATGGATCCAGATAGGATGTTTCCTCCAGGAATTGCGGGAACTGTCGCGCGACCACACTCTCAACAACCTGTAACATATACATAAATATATGTATATATTTAATAAAACTGAGGACCCAGTTGTGGGGGCAATAAGCTGACTTTGTATAAATATACAAAAGGATGAAGGCTATTGCTGAGCACATTGTAAGCCGCCCTGAGTCTTCGGAGAAGGGCGGCATATAAATCAAATTTAAAAAAAAAAAATCTGCTTTTTACTTGTTCATGGCCTCTATTTCACTTTTTATGAGGTTTGCTGTTTTTTTTAAATCTCACAATGTTGAAGGGAAAGGAAGGGAAGGGAGGATTTAATCACATGATCATAGTAGTCTTTTGACTATTTAGACCAGGGATCCCCAACCCTCAGGTTGTGGCCCACTATCAGGCCATGGCCTATTCGGGATTGGTCCATGTAAATGGCTGGTTGGGGTATCAACTTGCACAACTGGCAGGCCAGTTGGCACTTGCGTGCATGTGTGTCAGCCTGCCACTCAAACAAATTGAGCTGTACACATACACATTGGCCCACTGCTTGTGCGGCCCAGTTCCCTTTTTCCTTCCCAGCTGGGCTGCCAAGCTGCAAAGGTTGGGGAATGCTGATTTAGACAACCCTCTGCAGATTCCCTGTGGTCAGCATTTTATTGATTTAATACAGGGGTCCCCAACCCCCCAACCCCCAGTCCGTGGACAAGCACCGGTCCGCGGCATGCCAGAAACCAGGCCTCACAAACAAATGAAACCCCATCCACGGGATGCAGACAGTATGCAAATCCACGCCCCCTCTGGTCCACGTAAAAAACTCTCTCCATGGAACTGGTCCCTGGTGCCCAAAAGGTTGGGGGTCTCTGATCTAATAAATAAAATTTGCAAGCAATGAATGACTGTTCTGAAATCTGAAAATTCAATAAGTGGACAAAAAAAATTTTTTTTTTATTGCATCATTTCAGACTATGTCAGTTTTCCCATCATCCAAGCATATTTTTCCAAATTCTGCTTCCATGTATGATATTCTATTTTCTACATTACTTGCTCCTGTTTTATTTCTCTCTGGAACCTTCCAAATCAATCATTCCTTGAAGGGGAATAAAAAAATTAGGTTATTTGAACAATGAATTTAGGAAGTTTGCCAGCTTTCCTATCCAGCCGTCAGCAGTCACTTACTTTAATAGCTGTTATGCACTCCTGGTAATCAGTCTTCCTCACACAAATCAGTTCTGGAAAATCCTTGGATTGTTGCTGGGAAAAGCATTCCTGCTTAAGCCTTAGGCATTTCTCCTGCTCTTCATTGGATATTGTGCACCATCTTACCGAAGAAGATGCAAGACACAGAGCTATGAAAAGAATGAAAAGGGTGCAGATAATGTTAATATCACAGATTTTAAGCAAAGATTGATAAAGTCTGGTTGAAGCTTTTTCAACATACAAAATCAGATCAAGAGGGGTAATGAGCGGAAGTGGACTGGATTCATTTTTATTGACTGTAGGGATGGTGCTTTGCGTCTCTCAGACAAGAATATCTGGACTTGCATTTGGGTTGCCACTTATCGAACAATGTCACCTGTTATTTAGAATCCATTTTTATATGCAAGGTTAGTTATATTACTGATTTCGTAGAATGAGCAGCAACATAAATTTTGTATATAGAAATGTATCTTTTCTAGTTTCTAAAAGATAGTTGTCAATTTGAAGATTTGTCAGCAGACATTCCTAAAATCCAGGTAAATCCAATTTCATTTTAAATTCACTTAGGAAGAGGAGACACAGAGAAAGTTAATAAATGAAATTAACTAGAAATAAAATTGTGGATACAATATCTAAATAGATAACATTACAATTACATCATTATTATAAAAAGTGATAATCTGTTAAGGTGATTAGCATGCTCAGTGATAGAAAAAAAATAATTGCACTTTTTAACAATATATTATAGATCAATTACTGAGAAAAATTTTATAGTTTGCAAAATAATTTAGAAAATGTTTTTGGGTTTCAAGAAGGGATATGAAAAAGTCATTAAAGCAATTTAAATGCAATTGAGACTGAAGACAGGCCAAAAACTTTCCAAAGAGTAAAACTGGCAGCCAAACATATAAAACAACAAATATTGAGCAGAACAAGAATTTCTTATTATTGCATAGAAACTATTCAATGAAGAAGACAAACTAAACTCGTTAGGGAAGAAATTACTTAATCCCCATGCTGCTACAGAAAATTTTCATCTAAATTATCTAATTCAGGGGGTCTCCAACCCCAGGGCCATGGCCCACTACCATTCCATGGCCTATTCACAACCAGGCTGCATGAGCTGCGGGCCGGTGTGCACGTGTGCATTCAGCTGAACTTGCAAAAGTTGACCTGTGTACGCATGTGTGTGTGTGTATCAGTTAGCTGCGCATGCAAGCGCGTGTTGCACACCGGCTGCTACTCAAGGGGCCCAGCTCCCCTCCTCCCCCTCCCTCAGTGAGGATCGAACCCTTGACAGTCAGCAGAATTAACCTGCAATACTACATTCTAATCACTACGCCACCACAGCTCCTAAATAGAGGCGGTGCTGCTGCACAAGCTCTTCTACTAGCCTCATAGAAATCTTGAAAAGGAACTAGATAACTCATGAGTCACTGGGTCATCATTTCAGATATTTTTCCATGCATAACAAAGAAACAGAATGATATGGCCCGACAAAAATGCCGTTTGATCAGAAGCAGCTTCTGACTTCCAGCCATCTTCCTCATTGATTTTTCTTGTAGTAAACTGGCAGGGAATGTTGGAAATTATGATCAAATGACGATGGCTGACTATAATGACATGGCAGTACAATAGCATTGAAGTGGCCACACCTTTGTCAAATTCCAATGCCACTTAGCCATGGGTTCTGGATTTTGAACACTTTCTGTAAGTTAGCCCATTTGAGGTGTGTTGATTGAAGAATTGTTGCCTTATGATATATCATTTGATTTCACCCAATTGAAGGTTACAAACAATCAAACAGACACAAGAATTTTAGAGGAATATAGATTTCTTTTAGCAAATCACTCTACCTGATTTTAATAGTGATGCTTATGGCAAAATAAGCTCAATTGCAAAAACAAAAGAAGACACAAACAGAAGCAAGAACAAAAAAAAAGTTCCTGATTGTTTTTGTACAGATAATTTAGACTTCAGATATGTAGTCTGATGTTCTCTAGATATTCAACAATTCCCCTAGACTTAGCCAAATTGGTCAAAAAATTGCCAAGAAAACTGCAAAGACTAGTCTATGAAGTCACCAGCAGTCAAAAATTGACCTGAAAGCCCAAACCTTCCTAATGGATTATAAGGGTGTAGTCTAAAACATGTTAATCATCCCTGGTGGCCTATTTCTGATTTAGACTATCATAATACATTCAAAAGATTTCCAAGCTGTAGCTAGATGAATATTAGATGTAGGATCTTGCCCAGTAGATTTTCTTTATGCTATGCATTGTTCAACAACTTGCCCATCAAGTTCTTCAACCAGCTTTTTTAAAAAAAACTATTTCAAGTCATGTACTGTGTTGTATTGTTTCTTAAGATGATGGAAAGGTAACACTGTTTAGAGCAATTTCACTATCTGTTTGGAAGTAGAGCCATGGCACTGGACTTCTTTGTTTGTTTGAAACATTTCACTTCTTATCCAAGTAGCTTTGTCAGTCTTAAAAGACTTTTTCAGACTGAAAAAGCTACTTGGATAAGCAGTGAAACATTTCAAACAAAGAAAGAAAAAAAGTCAAGTTGCCATGACTCAAATTACAGACCACTCTACCTGGATGACTGAGAATCTTCATCAACATATTTCACTATTTATTATGTTTTTTACCAATATAGGGTCATGACATATGCATATTAATCCATTGCCTATTTGTTGTTATTCAGTCTCTGCTAAATTATAGCTGTATTGCAGCAATTCATTTTAGCAGTGTACCAGACATCACATGTCAACTCATGACATGAGATAATGTTCATATTCTCCATTATATTACAAATATTCATTACTGGAAGGTGTACCAATGCATGACAGTAACATATGAAAAGATTTACAGCCTTTGAAATAGACATTCTGGATCCCTGTACTATCTCTTGCCATTAATTTTGCTGGTTATGAATATTGGCATTTGAATTGAATTTGGAGACTGTTCTGCAAAAGGACTTTTATTGAGATTTTGATAACATCACAGATAACAGGAAGATTGTATTAATCTCCCTTTACTAACATCCCAGGTTCATGATCTTCATTCCAGCTCCAAAATTTACACAGTTTTTTTTTAATGCCGGCATATTATTTAAAATAACAGAGTTGATGCAATGTTTTGTTGATCCCTACTTCAAGGAACAGCATTAGGTTAGAGGTGAAAAACTTCCTATTCTGAAACTTAGGAAAGCCACTGCCAAATAACTTTCCAAAATTTCTGCCTTCCACAACACATCCCATTCTTTTCAGTCCTCAAAATCACATTATAAAACAAATATAATAGATTTCTCAGACTCAGGTTTATTCTGTAACCTGTGTACAAGACAGAGATAACAATAGCAGGAACTAATTATCAAGATAAGTGTGTCTATTCCATTCCATACCTGCCCCTATACCTGTATTTGTTCTAATCTCACCAGGAAAGAAGTAAATTGCAGGGATAATTTAGATGACATAGGAATAATTAACCAACCTATCTCTTATTCACCATTTCTCTCCTATAGTTTCTTTTATTATGCAATCACATTAACTTGGAAATATTTCTTAAAGTATCTCACCCCACCCTAATATTCCTTGTTCAAAGCACGTTCATTCATAATGATAATAAAAATAGTACTCTTTCTTCTTTTGCCTTTTAACTCACATCTAATTAAATAATTTATGTATTATTCCCCCTTTCAGCCTGTATGAAAGCATAACTCCAAGTTCAGCATTTGCTTAAACTGAAACTTAAATTTTCATATTAAAAATGTATATTTGGCAGAATTCTTGAACCAGATACTTAGTTAAAAATGAAATTTCTGGGAGGGTTTTGGTTTTTGGTTTGTTTTTTGCAATTTTCTAGTTCTTAAAAAAACATCTGGAATAAGGCAATTGGAGTAGCATAGTGGGTAAGGTGCTAGACTTACATGATGGAAATCTATATTCATGTCCTCATATGATCATGGAGTATGCTGAGTGATTTAATACTACACTATTCCTCAGCCAAACCAACCTTTAGGGTAGGTGAAAACATAAAAGTAAATAAGATCCCATATATGCTGACCTGAGTTCTTAGAAGAAAAGGTGGAAAATAAATGTAATAGAAAGAAATACTCCACAATAGTTAAAAGGTTTCATTTTGAAAACTAGTATAGAAGTTGCCCCTTTAATCATCTCATGCAACTCTGGTGCTAGAGTTGTTACTATCTGTTAGTCTGCATTCACTTACCCAGCAGCCCAAAGGACAGAGTGGCTTGGAGGGCAAATTTCATTTTCCCCTCTTCTGGTGGCTTTCAGACAAGGTGTTGCAGAGCTGTCAGTCACAGACTGCTCTCCCAGAGTCTGTGAAGTCTGTTGACTCAGCTGTCTTGCCTTTTTATAGAGAACCTGGACTCTGCAGTGTTAGGAGAAGCAGTGACCCAACAGTGTTTGTCCTTCCTTGTTTCCCAATAGTGCCTCTTTCCCGCTCTCTCACCAGCCCACTTCAGGAAGAATCTCACGTTGGCACTGAATTCACTGCATGCCCGGAATAGAAAAGGGGGAATTGTTTGAGAAGCTTCAGCTGGGAATTTCCACATCATTTAATTCTTCCTTTACCTGAACTTCAGTTCTATTAGCAAGGACACATTCTTCCACTCCCAAAATTGCAATGCCATCTAATATGTCTGCTGAAATTGTGACTAAATTTTGCCTATTTATGCAACAGCTCCACTCTGTTAAAAGTCAGAGGTTTAATTTCTATAAAACTAAGACTATACTTTAAAAGCAATATCCATTATTGATGACTCTCTGTTAGGGGGCCTCAATGTAGATATTGAAATGAGCAGAGGGTTGAAAGTCATATAACCCCTTCCTTCCTTCCTTCCTTCCTTCCTTCCTTCCTTCCTTCCTTCCTTCCTCCCTCCCTCCCTCCCTCCCTCCCTTTCCTATGGTTTACTTTAACAAGGCAATGCATTCAAAAATCCATTGTGGCTCAGGACTTGTTTCAAGTAGGAAACAAATTATTTAAGTTTTTATTTATTTGGCTTCCACATCACTCCAATTGTTATCTGATTCTGAACAGTTTATAATCCTATCATGCAGGAGAAGGGCGGTATAGAAATAAAATAATAATAATAATAATAATAATAATAATAATAATAATAATAATGTGTAAACAGGATTAAAAAATTTTTAGACATAACCAAATAAATAAACAGCATTGCAGAGTAATATATTCCAGTGCCAAGGACCCCATAGGAACCCATATTATTTATTATTTTACTATTTATTTTATTTATTGAATTTGTATACCGCCCTACTCCCGAAGGACTCAGGGCGGTGAACAGCCAGATAAAATACATATAATGCAAATGTTAAAAAAGCATTAAAATACAATTAAATAATTGGCCCGGAAAACGAAATTTAAAACACCCCAAATTTATAAAACAAATTTAAAATTGAAGAATTTTAAAATTTTAAAAAGTTTAAAAGAGAGGTTAGGCCAGGCCGGCCTGCTGGAAAAGAAATGTTTTGATGGCACAGCGAAAAGCGCGCAGATCCGGGATCTTCTGTATCTCTGGGGGGAGCTCGTTCCAGATGGTGGGTGCCCCCACAGAAAAGGCTCTCCCCCTGGGGGCCGCCAGTCGACACTGTTCGGCTGACAGCACCCTGAGAAGCCCCTCTCTATGGGAGCGTACTGGGCGGTGAGAGGCTATTGGTGGCAGAAGGCGGTCTCGTAAATACCCCGGTCCTAAGCCATGGAGCGCTCTAAAGGTGGTACCAAAACCTTGAAGTGCACCCAGAAGACCACCGGGAGCCAGTGCAGCTCGCGCAGGAGGGGGGGTCACATGGGAGCGCCCGGTTGCTCCCATAACCACCCGCGCGGCCACATTCTGGACCAGCTGGAGCCTCCGGGTGCTCCTCAAGGGGAGCCCCATGTAGAGAGCATTGCAGTAGTCCAGGCGGGAAGTGACGAAGGCATGAGTGACCGTATTTAACGAGTCCCAATCCAGAAATGGACGCAACTGGCGAATCAGGAGAACCTGATAAAACGCCCTCCCAGCCACAGCCGTCAAGTGCTCTTCTAAAGACAGCTGTGAGTCCAGGAGGAGTCCCAAGTTGCGAGCCCTCTCCATGGGGGCCAATGACTTGCCCCCAATAGTCAGTGATGGCACCAACTGACTATATCGGGATGTCGGAAACCACAGCCACTCGGTCTTGGATGGGTTGAGCCTGAGTCTGTTCCTCCCCATCCAGATCCGTACAGCCTCCAGGCACCGGGACATCACTTCAAGGGCATCATTGGGGTGGTTCGGGGTGGAGATGTACAGCAGGGTGTCATCAGCGTACTGGTGGTACTTCACCCCGAAACCACGGATGATCTCACCCAGCGGCTTCACATAAATGTTGAACAGAAGGGGCGAGAGGACCGACCCTTGTGGCACCCCACATACAAGGGGCCTCGGGGTCGACCTCTGCCCCCCTGCCAACACTGACTGCGACCGGTCAGAGAGGAAGGAGGAGAACCACTGCAACACGGTGCCTCCCACCCCTAGCTCTTCCAGCCGGTGCAGCATGATACCATGGTCGATGGTATCAAAAGCCGCTGAGAGGTCTAATAGGACCAAGACAGAGGAGCAACTCCTGTCCCGAGCCCTCCAGAGATCATCAACCAATGCCGTTTCCGTGCTGTACCCAGGCCTGAAGCCCGACTGGAACGGATCCTCCATATGCAGGAGATGCTATTCTTTTGTGGATTTTTACAAAACATCCACCTTTTAGCAACTTAAAAACCAATGACACGTCCATTGTAGCATGAGATTTTGTAGGTTCTTCAGCTTTCTTTTCTTCTTAAATCTTCCGGTGATAGGTAATACTTTGTATTTGGCCACAGTGATGCATTTTTGGGGTAATAACATATTGAGACTACTGGAGAATGGTACTTTAGCTGGCTTTGAAGTATCTGTGGAAAGTTCATCTGCTTCATAATAAAGGTAAAGATTCCCCTTGCACATATGTGCTAGTCGTTCCCGACTTTAGGGGGTGGTGCTCAACTCTGTTTCAAAGCCAAAGAGCCAGCACTGTCGGAAGACGTCTCCATGGTCATGTGGCCAGCATGACTAAATGCCAAAGACACACGGAATGCTGTTACCTTCCCACCAAAGGTGGTCCCTATTTTTCTACTTGCATTTTTTACGTGCTTTTGAACTGCTACATTGGCAGAAGCTGGGACAAGTAATGGGAGCCATTACGCAGCACTAGGGATTCGAACTGAACTGCCAACCTTTCGATCAACAAACTTAGCCACTGAGCCACCGTGTCCCTTTTTTCATAATTGCTTCATAATACCATAACAAATTATTGACCAAACATAGAGACCATTTCAAGGTCCAATTCAAAAGAATGGCTTAAAATACCATTAGAGCTTACCTCGGTCTCCTTACCAGTTGAAGCAGACTTACAGATACAATAGCAAAAATACCCTAACACAAAAATACCACACTATTCTGTATGCCACTGGAACTCTGGCAAGGCTTCAGAGATGGAGCAAGAATGGACTATGTGCCCACATAGAAGTGTGAAAGAAAGGACAAGCAAAGAAAAAGAAAGGACCAAATAGGAATAGGAATTACATACTAGAAAAGATTGCATTTTTGTGAGAAGTTTGAGAAAAAGTAATGTGATAAAGATCAGGACAACCAAAACTGCTTTGAAAGGTTTTGAATCTTCTTGAAAATGATTTACTTAGACATTGTCCAGTTTTCCTGGAAATTTATATAACGGGAACAGAATATAAGCAGTCCTGATATCCCTGTAGAATTTAAAATGTAATAATGGATGTGAATCTCCTTGGAGAAAACCAAGTATGAGAGTAACCAGTTAAAAAATCTGTTCTAGTAGAATCTATATTTTTCTGTATGATCTTAGCTGTTCATTAATTGTACATTAATAATCTAATCTTATACTTATCTAATTGAGAAAACATAAAATTTCTGTACCAATGGAGGGGGAGGTGTCTTTCATATATCATCAGAAATATTTGATTATCTGTGGAAGAGAAAGCCGAAAACATGGCGTATTATGCCATCTAGCTAAAATTCTGGGAGTTGTTATTCCAACACATTTGGCTGCAGAAGTTGCAGAAATGTGGTTCTGATAAATACGCACACAGATTAGCAACAGTAAACCCATGTAGATAAATTCCCAAAATATTAGGGAGAAAAAGAGTACAAAAGAAAACTCTTTCACCAAGCAGAATATTTGCTCACTCAAAATTCTTAGCAAAGAGTGCTCCCAGACATCATCGCAGGCATGATGATGTCTGGGAGCCATTATTCCATCTCTTATCATACTTTTTGTTTGTGAAGACAGCAGGAAAATTCCCCAGAGGGACAATGAACTTGCAGAATAAAAACTTAGTTAGAAACACTCTAGTTAAATTAAGCCAGGAGACCCAAGATTAATGGAACACCAGTATTCCAGGAATTAAACTAACATCACAGCCTGATACATAAAACTGCAATATTTGCAAAGTGAGACACAAGTGAAGGAATCACAGGCCAATATTTAAAATTTAGAGGTTCTGCCCTCTTCTGGCCATTTGCATTAACTAAAGAAATTCAACCAAAACACAAAACTAAACTTCAACATAGCTCAGCTGAAGAGCTTTCAAAGAAGAATTTCTATAACACTCCCCAGAGCAATTTACAGAAATCATACAAGGGAGAGTCTCCCACTGAATTGAGAAGAAAACAACTATAGACAAAAAATGAAGAAGAGACAGTCTCTTTAGGATCATCTTTCATTGGAATTTATAGAATTGAACTTAGATTTATTAATTTTATTGGCTGCCCATCTTACCACACGGTAACTGTGGGCAGCTTACAATATTAAAAAGATAAAACCATATGAATACTCCTAAAATATAAAAATACAAAATACAATACCTAAAAGATGGGGAGGGAGGAAGGGAGGGAGTAGGATGAGCGGTGGGGGAGATGGGATCTGATATTATCTACCACTCGCAACATGGAGCCCCTCCTTTGGAGTCTCAAGCCAACTGGCAGAGCAGTGTCTTTAAGCTCCTGGTTATAAATGACAATAAAGGTAACTAAATATATAAATATATCAAAGCTTATTTTTAATAAAGCAGAATCTCCATGCAAATGTTCTTAGCACCATTAACAAAGCCTTAAAAAAAGTTAAAATGCTGCCTTCAATTGGCAAATACATATTGGGCGAATAAAACTATGAGAGTAATTTCCTATTGCAATAGGAAAAGATTTTTATTTACTTTTATTCCAGCAATTACTTAAATACAGAAGCAGACAACATATATATCTTTCATAAAATGCTGTTTCCACATATCTGTGCCTTGTAATTCTGTCTTTGTAAATTCACATTAAAATATATATAGGGTATTTTTATTGCTTCATATATAGCATTTGTATTCTCACATGTAATCCAGCATTTCTCAAACCTGAAGGGCTGTCTTTAAACCCAACACCCTGCAGTAGACAGGTTTTAATGTTGCTTGTAACCATGATATAATTTTTTACATGCTACAATTTGACACCGCTCCAGGAATGAACGTTTACATCCTATAACAAATTAAGTTCTACAACATCACTGTTGCTTCCCTCCCCAATTACAATTTAGAACTGAAGTACAAAAAAATGTACAGTAACTCCTGTTAAAATACATCTTTTAACCCTATAGAATTTTGTAGCAAGAGTTGTAAGCCTTTCACAAGCAAAAATAACCATGTTTAAACATGCACTCCGAACAATGCATTCACACGTTCTATTTAAAGAAAATGTGACTGAGAAAATCAGAGGCATGTTAGGCAAATATATCTTTATTTGTAGACATAAATAACAATGTAAAATGTGTGGGTTTCTACACCTTTGCAGCTTGTTCAAAGACAATGTGGGCCGTGGGCCTCATGGCAAGCAGAGTTCTCATGAACTCTGACATGATTTATTTACCACTTTTATTCTGGATTTGGCAAAAAGCTTATGAAATAAAAGCAAGAGAGCACAACTCCATTCCTAAGCTCAAACATAGTTTAAAATCATGGCCCTGATGTTCTATTTGCAAGTCACTCAAGCACAAAAAGCTATTTCTAAGTCTAAACTTCGGAGCAAATCATGAAGCTACTAATACTGAACAGATTTTTGTGGGATATACATAAATCTTAGGGACTAATTCATACAATTTAAGAAAAACAATTTAATAGAACTTGGTCTTTAGTAACAAGTACAGGACAGAAGAGATGTACATTAAGCATTCAAAACAATAATTCGAAATGTTTTCTGTGTAGGTATTACTTTTTTTTACAGACAACACTTTGGGAAATGCAACTCATCTAGAAAAAGTATCAAGTCCAGCTTGTGACACACTAAAAAAATTCTAAGTTACCTATTTCTGCTGTAAAAAGCATGGCATAAAATACACTGTGAAACAAGAATATAAGTGAGAACAGTTACATCTTATTTGATAGAGAACCACAGGTACACAGTTCTAATGGTTACTACTTCTCTTGAACATTGAACATTCTACAGGAGAAACATCTTTCAAGAGCTGATGGAAATGACACGTCTTAAAGCAGTAATGGAAGTTTTAAATCTACTAAAATGTAATATGTTCAGAAGGTAGCATGTTACATTTTAGTAGATTTACAAACTTGGCACTCTCTTTCCATGAAGATGCTATAACATTTAAGATTTGCTAAGAAGTTAGTAATCCAACCAAATGTGTATCAGACAAATAGTGATGTTTCTTTTTAGAAGCACAGCTGAAATAACATCAGGAAGGAAGGAAGGAAGGAAGGAAGGAAGGAAGGAAGGAAGGAAGGAAGGAAGTTAGTTGAGATTTTCTAATGTGTACCAATTATTCAGACAACATATATCAAGTGATAGGATGGCCACATTGCTAGGCATTGCACAAAACATTGGAAGTAGTTATCTATTACTTTTTTTAAGAAGCCACATTACTATAGTTACAATAGTAAATTCTACTCATTCCAGAGTGTTATAAAACTTTTTAGAGAATGAAAGGATAAAATAACAAATTGACGTGGATCTCAAGCATTTCAGATGAAAAGAGTATTGGAAGGAAAACAGAAGCAAAGGAATTTGAATCTAGGAATATCTAGAAATGTTCCTTTTCATCTTGAGACTTTTGTGTAACAAGGATTCTCCTTTTTAAGGGATCTTTTCCTAAAATAGAGTAGGAAAATTACCTGCAACAATGAGAATAGGAAGCAGAAAAGGGGCTACTCTTTGCTAGGCTATATTTAAAGAACAAGGCTACTTCAGCAGAGCCTTTCTGTGAACAATGAACAGAAAGTAAAAACTTCCCTGAGCATGTCCTCACCATTGCTACAAGCTCCAAGTGTGCATCTTTTCCTAGCCAAACTACTATTTAAAACTCAAGTTCTTGCTCTATTAAATTGCATGCCTCATTCCAATACCTACTCTTCCCAAGGCTTGTTCTTTGCCACCTTCTTATTCTCAGGCAATTTTTGCTAGCCATTTTTCCAAGTCATTGATGTCAGCACTACCCTCCTCTCCCTTGTTTCCTCTGGCACTACATTCAATAAATTCAACTTTCATGGGCAGCTGAGAGAAGTCGAACTCCTTTCCCTTCTTCCCAAGCTGAATGACAGATCCCGAGTTTGAACTATCCATGGTACTTGGGGCAGCAGAGAGGGTCACTCGTAAGGTATTACTGAAAAAAAAATCAAGGAGAACAAACTTAGACAAATAGGTCTGTATAAAATCAACCATTGGCATTGTGGGTAGGTTGCACAATCTTGAGAGAGAGAGATGTATGAAACTAGCTAATATGAGTAGGATCACAATTTCACCACAACCAAACTATTATCTGTTTTATTGGGGTTTTTTTTTTCCTTTTTAAAACGTAACTTTTAGGATAAAGGTTTGTTCTCTGACCTTGTGGATTGTTTTCCAAACGTTTCATTAGCTATCTAGGTAACATCTTCAGTGGAGTTAAAGATGTTAACTAGCCTGGTAACAAAATGTTTGGAAACCAACCCATAAGCTTGGAGGACAAACCTTTATCCTTATCCTACACCCAACGTAGAGATATTCGCTGCATAACTTTTACTTTATTTTCATGTTTGATTAGCTATACTCTTTTTAAGAGTACTTCCTTGTAAGTCACTCTGAGCTGCCCAAGAGAAAGCATGGAACAGAAATAAATAAAGATGAATGATCCATCTTTGGGAAAAGAACCTAATTATTAGATCATAGATATTTATAGCCAAAATCTGGCAATAGTAAATCATAATGAAATTAAAGTTTCAATAATTGGTCAAGCGTGTTAATTCTTCAATTATACTTTAGGAAAAGGAGAAAAGGCAAAGAAAGTGATATTTTCCTCTCAGCAACAACTTTGCAATATGTTGTCAGTTCTGGTGATAATCAAAAATAAGATTATAATGATTCAGGGATTAGCTTTAAGGATTAATTTAAAGATCAACAAAGGAAAACACCTTTTTGTGTGTTACATCTGCTGAGAAATTTAATTTGAAAACACAAAACAAATTATGGCATTACTTTAAATGTTCCTTATTTTAATGGATGGGAGAGTATATACGTGGGAAAAGAAGGTATCTCTTGTTATTTTTCAATGTGAACTATATAGTATGCATAAAACTATAACTTTCCATTCAGGTTATAAAAGAAATACATTTTTGTAAAATTGGATATTGTAGGAACTCAGTCACACCCTCTCAGGAAGGAGATAATGGTAAACCATTTCCAAAATTTTATAAAGAAAACTGCAGGGACCAGTTCAGGAACCAGGAGTCAACAAAAAATCAATGGCTAGGGAGGAAGGGAGGGAGGGAGGACACCAACTGAGATACTAAATCAAGAATAATTTGAATAATTTTTGAAAGCAACATTTTAAAAATATACTCCATCTAACAGACTTGATTAAATTAATATGTATGTTGCTATTTAAAAATCTAGCTGATCTCATGCATCAGAACAGTTTGGAAATTCTACGGGCATATTCGGTTTTATTTTTCACTGCTCAATGTTACTTTCCAATGTGCCTTCACAACCATGGGAAAATAATTTTTAAAATGTCATCCCTACTGGGCAGTAACCTTGCACATAAGGAAAGATGCATGAAGGTGACCCCTGATAAGCTGATTCTTTGAACTTACAGTTCTCTTTCCAGTTGCTGTTGTATGAGCTTAGAAGATTTTGCCATTGTAACATCTATGGAAGAAATAAGGGAAAAAACACATTAATATTGTGCTACAGATAACAATGGCTTGATACATTTGAAGGAACTTTCTAAAAGCTAATGACACTGCTAGGCCTCTGAACTCTAGGGGGTGCATTCCAAAGAAATTGGAGCGTTGTTAGAGAAAGCTTAATCTGAGTTGTCATCAGGCAAGTTGATGAAGGCAAATCTCCTCAGATAATTGCAAGAAATGGAGAAAGTTACACAGCTATTACTTCCAGACACAGTCGTCACTCAGTTCCTTAAAAGGGCAGTTAGTAAGCCCTGAATTCACCACTGCAACACAGTGGTTTGGTAAGAGGTTGGTGATATCCATCCAGATACATAAATAATAGTTATATTTGTATCTGGCTAATTGACTGAGTTCATAAACCACCATTAAAATAAACCATGATTTCCCATAACAGGATCCAAATTTCAGAAACAGATAAAAGCTGTTAATTAGTTTACCAGGATTGACAGAAACTATTTTCCAAATGTGCATTTATTCTACACCTTATATACAGTAAGGCATGGCAAAATACTAATCAGTATAAACATTTTAAAATATGTGTAAATAAAGGCCGGCTTATTTCAAAGATGATAGTCTTTACCTTGTTTGTTGCAGGCTATTAAGAGGGGAGGTGCATTTTTCAGAATTGTGTTATCAGTCAGGAGCTGGTACAGAAATTCTGCCACGTCTTTCATCTCCCGTTGGAAAGCTACACTATCCACAACAAACACAATTGCCCTATACAAAAATGCAGTGCATATTAACTTCAATTGGTATATGAGCAAAATAAACAACTCCCCCTCCACAATATGAAACTGCTTATAATCATCACTTTTCCCCCTCTAAGTTTTGATATTGTCAAAATTTGCTATCTTAATGTGAATTGTTTTGTTTTGAAACTCTTCTCTTCTCCAATTAGCAGGGCAGAAAAGTTTAGGAAAACAGAGAGAGATGAACAAAATCCAACAAATGAGATGCACATATTTCATCACATCCTTCTATTTATTTGCAGCAATCCTAAAAGTCTATATACCGGTAATGTCCTGAAAATGCTAATAGAACCATTCTTTTGAAACTTACCTAGCTGCAGTCTTGAACCTATCCAGGAACTGAAGTCTCAAGCTCTCATGGCCAGGAAGGTCAATTAAAGTCACATTCCTATTCTATGGGAGAAACAATAAATATTTATCATGGAGCAATTTTAGGCAGTATTTTGCTTAGACTTATACATTTTTATTGCCTTCTACCTTTATTTGAGTTTATTTCAAATGAATAACAATCCTTTTATATATATATATATATATATATATATATATATATATATATATACACACACACACACACACACACACACACACACACACACCACAATATGTAACATTTTCATCCTTACCTTGTCATTTTTTATTCTGTATGAGGCAGAACCATCTGTTATGGAAGTCTGAGTATTTCGGAAATTTCCTGTTAAGAGCTATGGAAATCAAAAGAAAGCAGACAAAATTAAATATTCTCAGTAAAATTACCAAACTAATGCTTTCAAAGACTTCAAGTGTTAAAGTTTAATCTTCCAATAACATAAAAAAATCACAACAAAATATTAGTTTTAGATACAGTCTAAAAGAAATTATGAAAGAAACTTGCATACCCTAACAAATAGAAGAGTTTTTCCTGAGTCACACAGACCAGCCAGAAGCACTGCTGTCCGACTGCTCTTTCTTGCTTGGAAAACTTTCCAAAGTACTGAAAAAGACAAGTAATCCACTGAATAACTAAGCTATATGCATAAATAACATTGCTATCCATGAAAATAATTTGATTTATGCAATGTCTAAAACCAAAGCTACTTCACATTATGTACAGAGAGTTTGAACCTACTTTCCTGCCCAAAGACCAGGACAGATTGCCATCATTGATGGAAATATGAATTCTGAATTGTAAGAACATATTCTACTGCAAAATGTCATAGCATCTGTTCTTGAACTGAAGTTTAAGAGAAAATGGTTGTGCAGATTTAGTGTTAAGGTTAGGAATGCAGGAAGACAATGACCCAAAACGCAAGTCAAATTACCAAAGAATCGTTAAAGCAAAGAAAATTAAATATTCTGACCAAGTCAAAATCCTGATCTTCATCCTGTATAGAAATATTGTGGAAGTGGGCAGTTCATGCAAGGAGCTCCACCAACATCCCTTTGAAGCTGTTCTGTAAGAAGGAATGAGCTAAAATTCCTCCAAATCAACATGCAAAACTAATCAACATTTAGTTGCAGTTATTGATGCCTAAAGGTGGCTTGTCAGTTAAGGTTCACATATGAAACGTGGCATACTTTTATCACACAAAGATATGTACCTCTGGATCATTTTCAAATATACAATAAACAAATATGTTTTTGACTCATTTAACTGATTTCTTTATCTAGTTTTTAGTGAAGGACAGATCACATTTTATATCATATCTACGGTATGTAGAAATAGTGAACATTCAAAAAGGTTTACAAACTTTTTAGTATCATTGTAGTAGGATAGCAGTTCATTCAAAATAACATTAAATTCAATGATAAAATACACTACTTTGACAGAATTACAAATTACAATTATCTTGTCAGAAATCAGTTAAATCAGAAATCACACTTTTGTCAATTAAATTTGCCTACTTCTCACTTTCTAAATTTGCCTACAAGCTCTCTTTCTCCTGCACTTTCATCAAATATTATAAAACCCTCACCATAAAGTCCAAAGCAATTTTTCACCAGCCTGTGGGTTGCCAGATGTGTTTTATCAGAAGCCGTATTTTCCCAGCCATTTTATTTTGACAGTGGAAGACTGTTTGGAGTCAATTGCCAGAAAGGGGGGGGGGATAGGTTGACAAGGAACATAGCCTTTTGCAAAAGTCCCCCAAATCAGTCGATTAATGGCAGTCTTCAATGAAAAGAAGAAAGTTCAAATGTAATACATTTGGGAGCAATCTACTACTCCTTCCAGACATTCCCCAAACGTGGCAAGATGTTTCTCTACAATAGTATAGTATAATATAGCATTTATTGTCATTGTGCATCAACGAAATTGGTTTAGCCCCTCTGGTGCAATCCATAACAGAATCTAGGGCAAGACCCCCTGATGAACTTCACAAAAGCCCCACTGCCACCTACCTTCAAATGACCATGCTGCACGCCAGCCTTGCAATTGTGAGTTAAAGGGCCAGAGCGATGAAAGGCTCCGCGTCACCAGGAGAGCCCGGCTCACCTTCCATTCCCCGCTTTCTGCGCCGCTGGAAAGCAACCGCCGAGCAGGGCTAAGGCGCGCTGAAACTCACCCAGAACCAAGACGACGAACACGGCCACCGCCACCGAGATCAGGAGCCGGACCTGCGCCACGTCCTGGGCCGGCAGGGGCGCATCTTGGGGAGGGGGAAACCCTTCGCGCTGCGGCGTCACTTTCACACCGTTCATGCTGAGCCGCTCGACACGCCTGACAGCTTAATACGTCTCATGTAGCGACGTGTCCAGCTATGGAATCGTCCACTTCCGGCTTCTACAGCGGGTGGCTGGCTACTGGAGCAGAGGAACATGTTCCAAGAGATTTATGGGAACTGTAGTTCACTCATCTTCAAGTAAGAAAAAAAACAAAGAGGGGTATAATTACATTGGACTACAGCGCCCAGAATTCCTAGCGAAGAAAGTTAGTGATACCGAGACGCGGAAGCTTGTTCTAAATCTAAAGCATGAATTTCTTGTAGGGAACAAAATCAAGAGAATTTTGTAATATTATACCCAAAAATCAGAGTTTGGGGAATGAGCCAGATTTAAAGATTCGAATATGATTTTATTAGCCCATTTCATTCGGCATGGAAAGTGTTGGCAGATTTATAAAAACTATAGAAGATGAAACGGAGAGCATTTAAAAACGCTTTGTTAGTGCAATTGATCAGTGTCCACGCAATGATGATCTTGATCATGACTCTTGAAAAACCCGGCCGAGAATAATATTTCTGCTCAGTCAGTCATCTCCTACTCTACTGACAGAAGCTGACGGAAGTGGTTATTAAATTTTGTTTCCAGCACAATAATGGGAGAGTGTTTTTACTAAGTTCAGAACAAACTGGTGTAAATCCCATACTCTATTGCTACCTCTGTAATGGTAGCATGTCTATTCAAACCTGAATTGAGTAATAATTTTATTTAAATAATCAAAGTGCTCTGAAGTGGTGACTTTCGGAGATGTTTATCAGTCTGATTTTTTTTTAAAAAAAATGGTCAGAAGTGAGGGGGGAAACATGACAATGTTTATGTTGCAATATTTTCAGGATCAGACTCAATAAGATCAACAAGAGTTAAAGATTTAACTATATATTCTTTTATTTACATTAGGCATTCTATATTCACTGAATATTCACAGATAGAAGCAGGGGAAATGGTGTAGGTAGCTCCTTATATATACAATGGGTGGAGCTATATGTGGGAGTGGTGAATTATGAATACATTAAGAAGTGAAGAATAAGTTAACCCCTGATACCCTGTCTGTACACTATTTACACATTGGAGAATAAGGCATTTATATCTGACAATCCCCCTCTAAATGCCGATTCGTTATACAACACCAGTTACATTCAGATTCAGGACAATACAAAACATACAACTTAGAGGTTAAGTATCTATGTTGTTTGGAAGGTAAAGGCTTCGTTAATATATCAGCTAATTGTTCTGAAGTGTCACAATGCACTGCTTTAATAAATCCATCCTGAGATAATTGTCTCACATGTTTAAATTTTATATCTATATGTCTGGACCTTTGTCCAATGGCATCAGATCTAGATATTTCAATGGCTGCTTTATTGTCTTCATGCATAACAAAAGGCAGAGCAGGTTTTTTCCAGACATCTGAAATTAAATCATTAAACCATACAAGATTATTTGCGGCCTTGGATAAAACAAACATATTCCGCTTCTGTTGTTGAAGTAGCCACTAGTTCTTGTTTACCAGTGTACCAGTAGACTGGACAGTCATTTAAGAGAAATACATAACCAGATGTGCTTTTTCTGCATGAGGTGTCTCCAGCCCAATCTGCATCTGCATAACACGTAAGCTTTGGTTCTTTAATATCATTAGGTTCTAACATTAAACAAAAGTCTAGTGTACCTTTTAAATATCTTAAAATTCTTTTAACAGCTTCCCAGTGGTACATTGTTGGTTTGCTGACATGCCTAGATAATAAATTGAGTGGTAAAGCGATGTCCGGTCTAGTCCAATTAGATATGTAAAGGAGTGAACCTATGATTGATCTATAGAATGTATTATCCTTGAACTCGGGAGAAGATTCATCAGAATTCCTTAGAAAGTTAGTTTGCATAGGGGTATCACAAGGTTTGGCATTGTTTAAGTTGCATTTATTTAAAAGATCTATGATCTTATCTCTCTGGGTAAGTTTGAATCCCCTTTTTGTCTTATTAATTTGGACACCAAGGTATTTGTTTACCTTGCCTAAAGATTTCAATGAGAAATGTTCATTTAGTTTAGTTACAAAAGTTTCTCTTCTTTCCTTATGTTTTCCTATGTATAAGATGTCATCCACATAAATCAATACAAATTCAATGTAATCATCACCCCTCTTGACAAAGAAACAATTATCAGCAGTGGTAGCGTTGAAGTCCATGGTCTTAAGTACTTTTACTAAACAATCATACCACCGTTTACCAGATTGTTTTAGCCCGTATAAACTCTTGTTTAACAACCAAGTCTCATTTTTGTTTGTGTATGGACTATGAGGTGCTCTCACGTATATTTCTTTATCTAATTTTGCGTGTAGGTACGCAGTCTGTATGTCATATTGGAATACATCTAGATTGAGTGCTGAAGCTACCACTAGAGCTGTTTTGACACTCTCTGTTCTTACAGTGGGGGAATACGTGTCAGTATAGTCCTCTGGATATTTCTGTGCATAACCCTGTGCAACCAATCTAGCTTTGTATAGAGTATTTCCTCCCTCTAAATTCTTAATTTTATATATCCATCTGGTACCAATAATTGTCTTATCTTTAGGTGCAGATGCAGGTGTAAATACATTTAGTCCTTGTAAACTTTCCATCTCTTTCTTCATTGCTAATTCCCATTTTTCTTTTTCTTCGTGAGGAAGTTTTAACACTTCCTCGTATGTATTGGGTGTTGTTGGTTCACCATTCATGTGCATTACATAATCCTTGTATTTATTTGGCATTTGATTTCTGGTGTTTCTAATGATTTTCTCTGGTTTACTATCGTTATCATGCAAATATCTTGCTTCCTTTTTTGTTAGTGTATCTGTCTTTATTTTGAGTTGGCTATTTGTCCAAGTTTTGGTTTTGTTTTTATATTTGTTGGCATTTTGTTTTTCTATAGTCCCTTTCTCATGAGATTTTGTATCTTCATGTTTATTTGGGAATATCTCATTAAGATGTAATTTAGACCAGTTAGCTTGTTCATGGAACACAGCTGTTCTGGAGACTATAAATTTGTTGTTACTATCAATGAATCTGTATCCTTTAGTGCCAGTCTCATATCCCATAAATCTGAGTCTCCTGGACACATTTTCTCCCTTTCTTCTTAATTGTTTAGGTATGTGTACGTCTGCTGTGACTCCAAATATATGCATGTGTGCTAATTTTGGTTTTCTATTATACATCACTTCATATGGTGTCTTATTTATAATGCTGGACCATGTTCTATTTTGTGTGTAATTTGAATAATGTAAGGCTTCTGACCAGAATTGTTTGCTTAAGCCAGCATCTTCCAATGTGCATCTAATCATGGTTTGTAATGTGGAATTTTTTCTCTCTGCAATCCCGTTTTGGAACGGAGAAAATGGACTAGATGTGTAATGTAACATTCCTTTGTCTTTTAACCATTGTGAGAATTCTTTAGACATGAATTCGCATCCTCTGTCTGTCATAATTTGTTTTATTTTGATGTTGTGTTGTGTTTCTATGCGTTTGTAAAATTCTTTAAATTTTTGAAATGTTTCATCTTTGTGTTTTAGTGTGTAAACAAATCCATAGCGGCTATAATCGTCCACTATTGTCAGGAAGTAACGTTTCCTATAAGTGATTGATGGAGTTAATGGACCAACTAAGTCCATGTGTACTAAATCAAAAATTTTGTTAGTTGATCTGGTAGATTTTCTTGGCCTGGGACTAGTTTTTAGTTTTGTAGATTTACATACTGAGCATTCCAGATAATTTTCACAATTCTTTATTTTAACACCTTCTGCGTGTTCAGTCATTTTTTGCACTACAGGAAAACTGGCATGTCCTAACTTCCTATGCAATATGTGAGCACACTCATCATGAATTGGTTTACCTATCTTTGGTTTCTTATCGTTGTGTGCATCTGTGTGATCATGAGATATTTTACATTCATCATTGTCACTGTTGCTAACATTCTCATCATCTATTTCAATACAATCTTCCATATTTGAATCAATGTTATGTAACCATTTTTCTTTTGTTATTAGGTAAGGTAGTCCTCCTTTAGTCACCACAGTGCCTACATTTATTTTATTCTTTTCCAAAGTTGCCTTTCCTTTTGAAAAGACAATGTTAATGTCAGAATCTCTGCTTAGTTTTATGGCACTTAATATGTTATGAGGTATTTCAGGTATTAGTAATACCCCCTCTATTTTTCCTAAACCAGGCAAGGTTACACTTCCTCTACCTAATACTTGAACCTTTTCTTGGTTAGCAACCTTAATTACAAATTTATCTTCTGCAAATGAAGACAATATACTTTTGTTATTAGTGGTGTGATTAGTTGCTCCAGAATCAATAAGCCAATTATTGTTCTCACTTTGTTGTGTGTTAGTGTTGTCTTGTTTATTTAATCCATTCAGTGAACCAGACTTTCTATCCTTTGAATTGTCTCTGCCCCTCTATTCTCTCTGTGATTTGGTGGGCTCCTATATCTATGCCTTTCTATGGAAGGCTGTCTATAATCGTATTTGTTTCTGTATTCTGATCTATATCTTTCTTTTAAGACTTTTGGGCAATCTCTTCTATTGTGTTCCCTGGATCCACAATTATGACATTTAAATGTTCCACTATATTTTTCTTGGAAAGCTACTTTCCTATATGGTTTATGTTCTGTGTGATTGTTAGAACGATTCCTTCTAGAATTATCTTCTGTTATCAATTTGTTAGATAGACTTTCTATGGATAAATACCCTAGATTGATTGTGTCTAAATGTGACATAAAATTGTCCCATGATGGGTCAAGTGAGTTGATAATGACACTTTTCATTGTTTGGTCTGAAATCACTTCCCCCTTAAATGCAGTTCAGCTCTTATTTTGTTCAAAGATATTAAATGTTCACTTATGGAAACCCCTGGTTTTATCCTAGATGAAAAGAAGTCTTTAGATATCCTTGTGGTGGTGGCTACACTGTCACTGTGAAACAAATTAAACATGCATTGAATAATTTCTGAAACAGTCAAATTTGGCTTAATGCTGTGATACATTGCAGGAGACACACTAGATATTATTAAGAAAAAAGCTCTATGGTGTAAGCAATCTATTTTAGTGTCCAAGGTCTTTTGGGGGACTAGTGATAAAAAACAGT